CTAGGAGGGGCGAGGCAATAACCTAAGTACCTCCCTTAGACCCTTTCGTAGTATTTAACGTAGCTAATATTAATTACAAGTAGTATAATATCCGCTCGTAGTACGATAGTATCGAGCTAGTTAGAATATAGAACCTTATTACGCGGTTCGAACTAGGTACTTTTAACTAAAATATATCTAGAGACCGCCTAGATATCTAAATAACGTATACCGCTTTCCGATTAGAAAGGCAGCGTTAGATTCGTCTTAGATTCGAGATACGTTCTCGACCTATACGAAAGTTTTGTGTTAGATAGAATAAGATTGCGCGGTTCTAACGATATACTTTTTATTAGGTTATATTAAGAGACCGCCGAGAAATTTAATTAAACGTGTTTTACTTTCTAGATAGAAAGCGGCGTTAGATTCGCGCTAGATTCGAGGTACGTCTTCGATCTATATATTAATTTTATTTAGGACTAAGTTGTCTAGTAGTAACGATATAGTAGTTTCTGTTAATATTATCTTAGTATCTACTAATATATATAAACAAATAATACTTTATCTACCCGTTAGGAAGATAAGGGTAAATTTTAGTAATAGAAGACTACTTAATAGGATGTCCTAGAATTGTTTTAATTTTATAGCCTAATTTACTCTCTTATTAAGCTTATAGTACTACGACGGGCCTAGACGATAGTTTTAGTATAATATTAGAAAAGAATAGGAGAATATTTAAAGAAATATTTAAACTACCTAATACTCTAAATTATACTACTACTTATAAACATCGTCTAAACTAGGGCGCTAGACGAGACTAATACCGTTTATAACGTAGGCTAAAACAAATTCTATCTATACTATAGCTATCTAGGAAGGAGCTTTCCGATTTAGGCGGAGGCTATAAGTACTACGAGGCTACTACTCCTCTATTCGCCTAGTAGTTAACCGGCGTCTACTAGTTAATTTAAACGTTACCGCTAGTGCCTTTTACTAACCTAGACTTCTACTTTAGCTTTAGGCTAACGCGCGTACTAGTAATCTTAACTAGCTTAAAGCTTTCTTTTATATATTAAAGGTCGATACCGCCGATATAAAAGATAGCTAGTAAGAGCTAATTAGAGTTAAGATTAGGACTGTTATCGGCTTTACGAAGGTCGCCGACAAGAATTAGGTCTAGCGTTTAAGTAATACTAACTGGGTTATATTCTGCTTTATCGACCCTATAAATACTATACTACGATAGATTACGGTTAATAATTACTTCCGTTAGTACTACGGAATTGCCCTTACTAGTAGGTACCTAGATCGTCTAGTACTTAACGTCGGTACGTGCGCTAATTACTAATATCTGCCTATAAAGTTATATATAGTCCGTCCTAGCTAGCCTTGTCGACGCCTACTTAGTAGCAACTAGACTTCTAAGATACTTAAATTCGTAGCTAGATTTTTAAATCTTAACGCTATATCTGTTACTAGAACTCCCGGTACTAGACTTAGGAATAGTATATAACTCTTCCGTCTTACTAATCCTAATAGTAATCCTTAGTTAACTTCTATAAGGCTATTTAGCTTCTCGGTAGGTCCTAGTATAATTATAGTATCCGACTATATCCTAGATACTCTTTACGTAAGCTATAGTTCGAATTCGAAACCTATTACGCCGTAGAAGGGCTCCTAGAACTTATAGGGCGTTAAGTTTACTAGACCTAGAAAATCTAATAGGTAGTCGTTTCTAATTATTAACCGTAAAGGCAATCGAGGCAATACGCTATATAGGGACCTAGGTAATCTTAAAACTTGATTAATAGAGTTAAAAAGTATATAAAGTTATATAGTATTAGTATAGGCTAGCGTATTAAGCCTACGTAGGAAATCTTACTAGAGACCCTTACTACTATATAGAATCGCGACTTTAGTAACCGCTCGCTACGTCATATAATACTAATATCTTCGCGATAGCGGCCTAGGAGAGTATAGGTATTAGGTTCCTCATTGTATTTATTCCGGAAGCCGATAAGTAGTTATACGCTCGTATTAAATAATTTAGTAATATTAAATTTAGTATATATACTATCTACTCTCTAGGATCGAAGCTTTAGAAGCCTATTAGATAGGGCATATATATTAGTAATCTAGTACTTAAGTTTAACGTAAAGGGTAGTAGCGTAGCGTACTATATACTAAATGCCTTTAGTAGTAAACTGCTTAATAACGAGATAATACTACTATTTAGTATTAATATTACCTACCCGTCGCTAGGCTCCTCGAAGGTACGCTATTAATAGCTACGCTTATTACTAGCGTTAATAAGTATGTACTCTAATAGCTAGGCTCGATCTGTATATAGGATAGCCGCTAAGAAATAGCTAATAGGCTCGAAGAAACGGTAATTAAGCGTCTAAATTTGTAGTATAAGAAGAATAGCTCTCTACTAAACAAAGTTATTATTTACCGGAATAGCGTCTCGGAAGGCTAGTATAAACTAGTCCTATAGATAGAACTACCGTCTTTCGAAAAGGCCTTTACGAAGCTCTACGGTAGTAAGGAGAAGTGGCCGAAGATGACTGTTATTATCGTTAGTAAGCGTTGTTATACTCGATTCTGCCCGACTCGTAAGTAAGCTCTTTAGTTTTGTATTCGTAGAGATAATATACTTAGTAATAACTATAGCCTTGTGTGCCCTTTTGGTGTAGGAGTACTAGCTCTAGGCCTACGGCGTTATTCGCCTTAGCTTTAGTTAACTACGGTATAATTACAACGGGGACGAAAACTATATATTATATCTACTAAGAAGTATAACGGGATACTATAAAAAATAGGGAAGCTAGGTAGCGGTACCTAAAGTAGTATAGAACTCGTACGAGTCGAGACTAGACCCCGTAGTAGTTCGGGTTAGTTTAGTTTAGTTTAGTTTGCTAAGCTAAAGATCTAGTTTGGTTTAGGTTAGTTTGCTAAGCAACTATAGGAGTAGCTGGTTCGAACTACAGAATTTATCGGTTTCTAAGAAGTATAAGAATATATACGTAACTCGAAGCAAGCCCTTTATAAGACACGAGAGTATAGCCGGCAGCGTAGCCGGCATTTTTTAGTTATAGGAAGGTACTTATATAACCCTAAATCTATAGATAATTAGCTAAGGGCACTAACTAATTAAGAGCATATATATATATAAGCTATTATAGTTTAGTTTAGAAACTACACTTATTAGGTATAAATTTCATCCTTTCGCTCGCTATTTGATTCCCTAACTACTCGGTAGAATATTATTATCTATATCTAGGTAGAACTTATCGATTTCCCTAGAAGCCCTCTTTAAGAAGTTCTAACACTTTCCTACTAAACTATTCTCTAATATTAAGTAATAGGATAGCTCTTCCCTCGGTATCGGTATAGTATATAAAAGAGCTATAAAATAGCTCTATACTACGTTCTACTAGTTACTCGCTATACTAAGGCCGAATGCTAGTTCGTTCCTTAGAACTCTTAGTTATTTAGTAGATATAAAGGGTAGGGTAGGTAGTAACTTCGTATTATATAAGGATATAGAGGCTGCTATAGAGGAGTCCTTTAACCTATAGAAGATAGTAAAAGATATAGAGGCAGCTATAGGTCTAGGTATCTAGTTAAATTTCTAGTAGGTAGAGTATAAGGATATTTAGAGTAAGTATTAGGTAGAGTTGCGAAGGCAGGTATATAATATAGTCTAGAAAACAGGGATAATGCCTATAACTATAAGTATTAGGCTCTTTAACCTTCCTTCTTTTTCCCTATTTTCTTTTTATAAAAATATAAACTAATACAAATTAACTAAAATATCTATCTTCTTCTAGTTCTTTAAAAGACCTAGTAGCGTAGCTATTAGCGTAGCCGGTAGCGTAGCCGGCGTTTTTACTCCTTAGTACTAACGGGATTTTTAACGACTTCTATTCCGTACGGCTAATAAAGTATACTATACTATATATATATTATATATATATATATATATATACTTAGAGCGCCGTATAACAGCGGCTTATTTCGTATATAGAAAACGATTATAGATAACACTAAGAACATTCTTCCTACTATAATATCTATTCTTCCTACTATAATATCTATCCTACCTAGTAGTACTATTTCGAATATAGACATTCTAGCCTTTTAGAATCTAATTGAGGGCTTTAAAATCTTATCTATAATCGTAATACGCTTCGCGTAGATAGCTATAAGGACAATAGCTAAAATAGTATTAGTATAGTTCGAAAAGAGGTAGAAGAGAAATATATATTCGTAGATACAAATAAGGTAGGCTTCTAAAGCCTCTTAAAGGGTATCTATTATAGAGGCTTAGAAGCGAAGGTCCTATATAATATACTAGGCAATTTTACGAATAAGTCGTTAGAAAGGAGCTTTACGGATTAGGAGTTTAGTATCCTTCTAATATATCCGAATCTAACGAAGGGCTACGGCTAAAGAAGGATTAGTAAAAGAATAGTAAGAATGCCGGCTACGCTACCGGCTACGCTACCGGCTATAGATAGGACTTACTTCCTAGGCGCTATCGACGCTTCGTACGATTATTGCTACTAGTAGTAGAAGCGCTAGTCGTCGTCTTGCCTAGAGCCTTATCTGCCGTCGTCTTACGCGGAGCCTTACTCGCGACGCTCTTTCTAGTGCTAGAGCTAGCGGTAGTAGTAGTAGCCTTCTTGCGTTAATATACTATACTCGTTCTACTACTTCCGGTCTTATTATAATCCGTAGAAGTAGTAGGTCCCTTCGTACGAGTCGTTATAACTTAGTTAAGTAGACTCGGTATTACAAAAGTCGTCGAATTAATAAAGAAAGTACGTTACGAAGGTATACGAAGGCGCGCGCGGAGCGAGGATATTAGTACGGAGGTAGTGGATATAGAGCGTAGAGATATAGGTATCGATACGAAGGTTAAATATAGCGAGAGAGGTAGTATCGCGGTATCGCTAGGTAATAGAGTAAGCGTCGCGCAAGCCTATATTATAGTAACGTTAGAGCAAGAAAAGAAGTTAGATACGGCTAAAAAAGGCAGGTGCGGCAAACTTTGAAATATAGCCGGTATATATAGCCGGTATAGTAATAGGCAAAAGCCTCCTTTTAACAAACACTCGGCGTAATAATAGTATCCTACTATAGTATAGATATTCTTTAGTAATTCCCTTACTAGCTACAGTAATCTTATAAATAACCTAGGCCTATTACTAGGAAATATGAGAAATGTTAGGTAGGCTATACTAAACAAGCTAGTTATTTAGTAGGAAAAGGCCTACTACCATCTCTGTATGCCGGCTACGAGTGCCGGCTATCGCTCTAAATTTAACTCCGCCCTATCTCGGAGGCTAAGGTACCGAGCGGAAACCCTATAGCTTATATTTAATCGGTTATCGCGGAGCGCTTATAGGTAAGGTATTAGAAAAGAGTATAAAAAGTATAAGAAGAGTATCCTAGGATATAGGTCGTAAGTAAATAAGAGTCGCACGCCTAGTTATTTATATAGTACGTTACTCTATACGACCTAGAGCCTATATTATCTCGTACTTCGCTTATAAGACCTCGACTCTACTAGTATACTATCGATCTCTTAAATCTTCCTTAGTCGCTATCTTAATTCTTCTTCGAGTTGCCGGACTTAGTACGTATCTGTCGCTATATAATAGCGCTACGTATTATAGAGAATCTCTTATTAAAATTTCTCTCTCGTAGGCTTACTATCTGCCTCGTAGTATAGAGGATTAAAGTGCTAATACTAAAGAATCTCTTTATAGTTAGTATATTAGGGCTCCTTAGGACCTTTGTATTTTAGGTCTAAATAGAGACGTATTATAAACGTTCTATCGCCCTTTCGCTAACTATCTACTCGGTCGCGATATACGAAGAAACCAATTTAAATATAGCTCGTCTCTATAATAGCCGAGTAAATATAGGGCGCTAGGTTTCTACTTCGTACCTTATATCTAGGTATAACGCGGGAATAAAACTAGGAGTATAGCCGGTATATATAGCTAGTAAAAGGATGCGAAAATAGGCCTCCTCCTAGGTTAATCTAACGACTAAATACAAAGTCTAACTAATCCGCTATAAACCGACGCCGAATTTCAGCTAGAAGCTATATATCTTTATATTAAAGAGTACCCCGCTTCGTATAAATAGCAAGGAGGTTATAAAGCTTAAATTCGGTTATAAGAAATGCCTCCGTAGCTTCCTAAAGAGCATTAATCGCCTTAGCCGTAAATCGTATACTAGACTAAAAATCTAATATAATTTCTCGGACGAGTCGCTAGAAGAGAGTCTTAGGGATTAAAAACTCGGTCCCTCTTTTGTCTTAGAATAGCCGGATCTAGCGAAGGGTAATAGTACCTAGTTTAAAGTACTACTTCTTTATTATCGAGTCCTACCTTATACCCTTTTTTTAATAGAAGAATAACTTTTCTTTACGATAGTCTTCGTATACCTACTCCTTTTAGCCTTCTCTTATCTATCTAAGGCCTTCTTGTTTTTTTAGTACTGTTTTCCGAGGAACCCCCTTCCCTTATATATACTACGGAGAGTCTTACTCTTCCGATATCTCGTTCTCGCTACGGTCTCCCTATACTTAGCTTGCTTTACCCTTGCCCTTTAGGCTCTAAAGGTATCTTTATATGCGCTTAGACGACGAAGGTATATCGCTAGAACCTAGAAAATTAATAAGCCTATAATCGTAAAGAGATATTCTATAACACTTCCTAGTAAGGATACGGACTATCCTAATTACGAATCTAACGATAACCGACTAGGACGGTTTAATAGAAGACTATTTAGTCTAGAGTATCAGAAGTATAAATATCTCTTTACATTTATAGGCTTATTAATTTTTCTAGGTCTTAGCGATATACCTTCGTCGCCCGAACGTATATAAAGATACCTTTAGAACTTAGAATAGAGTACGAGTAAAGTAAGCTAAGTATAGGAAGACCGTAGCGAGAACGAAATATCGGAAGAGGAATACTATATATAGTATATATAAGGGAAGGGGGTTACTCGGAAAACAGTACTACGAAATAAGAATACTTTAGGTAGATATAAGAAGGATAGAGTAGCTAAAAAGGTAGACAGACGAAGACTATTACGAAGAAAAGCTATTCTTCTATAAAAAAGGGTAAAAGGTAGGTTTAGACGATAAAAAAGCGGCGCCTTAGACCGGATACTATTACCCTTCGCGAGATCCGGCTATTCTAAGATAAAAGGTAGACCGAGCTTTTAATCTCTATAACTCCCTTCTAGCGACTCGTCTAAGTAATTATATTAGATTTTAAGTCTAGTATATAATTTACGGCTATAGCGATTAGTAATCTCTCGAAAGCTACGAAGGTATCCGGGGTTTCGTTAGTTATACTTTATCCCGTAGTCGCGGGGATTTCAACTATATATAGAATCGCACTTTCTTAGTAGGCTATACGTAAACCTCGATATAATCGTATATTCTAGTCCTATTCGGATATCTAGGTAGGTATAGTAAGGAACCGCGAGTCTAAATATTACACATACAGCCTTATCCGAGCATATTACAGCCACAGACTTTACTACCGCCGTTTTCTTGTATAATCCTTAGCAAGCCAGTCTACCTTATTCTAAGGCGCGTATTCTTCGTATTCTTTCTTTCTAGTATACAAAGAGTACAGAAAACTCGGTATAGGGCGTAAAAAGGGCGAAAATATAAAGAGGGTACGCACCAAGCGGTTAACTAAGGTAGAGAGGGCGGAGAGGGTAGTAGATTACATAATAGATATACAGGCCGATATATAAAGTAATCGATTATATAGTAGACTAGAGTTTTGCTAAGAGGCCGGATTAAGGTCCTTAGTCGCAATTTACTAGCTACTAATATAGCGGAAATCTACCGTTTCTTATCTCTTATCGCACTTATATCCAGTTTCCCATTATATTTACTCTATAATAGTGCTATCGTCGACTTTTACGTATAGCCTACTAAGAAAGTGCGACTTTACGTATAGTTTAAATCCCCGAACGTAGGCGAGGGGTAAAGTAGACTAACGCAACCCTAGATATTTCTTATAACCGAGTTTAAGCTTTCTAACCTCCTTACTATCTATACGAAGCGGGTTGCTCTTTAATATAAAAATATATAGCTTCTAGCTAAGATTCGGCGTCGGTTTATAGCGGATTAATTAGGATTTGTATTTAGCCGCTACATTAACCTAGGACGAGGCACACTTTCGCATCCTTTTACTAGCTATATATACCGGCTATACTCCTAGTTTTATTCCCGCGTTATACCTAGATATAAGGTACGAAGTAGAAACCTAGCGCCTTATGTTTACTCGATTATTACGGAGACGAGCTATATTTAGACTAGTTTCTTGCTATATCCCGGCTTGCCTTAATAGTATTCGTAGTTTAACTATACTAAGAAGTAGAAGTATATATAACTAAAGAAGGGGAGAGATCGTTATACGATCTAGGTATTATCGCTTACCGCTACTCGTATAGCTAGGATAACTAGGGAGGAGATCGATAGCACAAGTTAGTAGAGTCTAGCGACGACTCTACCTACGAGTCTAACGAAGAAGAACGTATAGCCCGTATAAGAGATTCTAAGATATATAGAAGCCTCGTCCTAAGATACTACCTCTACCTCCCTACTATACTTACCCGGTCGTATATAATATAGTCTTATAAGCGAAGTACGAGATAATATAGGCTCATAGTCGTTTAGAGTAACGTACTATATAAATAACTAGGCGTACTACTATTATTTACTAACGACCTATATCCTGGGATGCTCTTCTCGTATATTTTATATACTTTTTTAATATCTTACTTATAAGCGCTCCGCGACAACCGAGCAGACATAAGGTACAGGGGTTCTACTCGGTACCTTAGCCTTCGAGATAGGGGGGAGTTAAATCTAGAGGCATAGTCGGCACTCGGAGCCGGTATATAGAGACGGTAGTAGGCCTATTCCTACTAAATAGCTAACTTATTTAGTATAGCCTACCGTAGTATAGATATTTATTATATTTCCTAGTAATAGAGTTAGGTTACTTATAAGATTACTGTAGCTAGTACCTCTAGCCGGGTCTTTATACTAGATAGTTAGACTATATATAGTAGTATTATTACTATTAAAGTAGTAACTGCGGAAGATATCTAGGTAGAATTTCCTACTAAATTTTACTACCTCTTTTGGAACCATACTAATACTATTTTAGCTATTGTCCTTATAGCTATCTACGTGAATCGCGTTACGACTATAGGTAAGGATTTTAAAGCCCTAGATTAGATTCTTAAGGGTTAGAATATCTAAATTCGAGATAGTAGTAGGTAGGATAGATATTCTAGTAGGATAGATATTCTTAGTATCCTCTATAAGCGTTTCTATATACAAAATATGCCGCTATTATACGGCGCTATATAGCGCGCGATAAATACTCTCTAAGTATATATATAGTATATTATGCTTTATTAGACGTCCGAAATAAAAGTCTTCGAAAATTCTATTAGTACTAGTCTTAAAAAGGGCTTGCTTTAAGTTACGTATATATTCCTATACTTGTTAGAAACCGACTAATTCTATAGTTCTAACCTGCTACTCGTATAGTTGCTTAGCAAACTAACTTAAACTAACCTAGAATTTTGGCTTAGTAAACTAAACCAAACTAACCCGACCTACTATAGGGTATAGCAATGCTAGTACGCTAACCTGCGATAGTATATGATACTATCTTAGGCCGACTATAGTAAACGTTTATGGTACTGCTTAGGGTTGCCTAGTTGGCGGTAGCTGAATATTTTGGTTATAGTAAAACGTGCTTCTCTAGATACTATCGATATGCTACTCGTCTGCGCCGCGGACTATAGTAATAGCACGAGCCTTACTAGCGTCCTAGTCTAATATACTACAATTCGGAAATATAATATAGTCGGCGACCTTAGTATTAGCTAGAATTAGATCGTATAGCAGGTATACAAACTAGTCTTCTAGATATATACGATCGAGTAGCAAATCCTTGTTATTAAACTAACCTGTAAAATCGAAATAGGCACTAGTAGTAGTGCGATTGCTACCGACTTTAAAGTAGTAGATATAAGTACTATTACCCTTCCCGGCCTACTAGTATAGAAAGCCGATTATCTCTAGGTTATAGCCTATACTGTCCTATTTAGTATAGGCGAGCGGGTAGGTAATACCTAGCTAAAGCACCTATATCTATACGATTAGCTATATATCTAGCTTGCTACGTTAAAAGTATAGCATAGTATTAGAGCAATTCGATACTAGTTAGAAACATACCTCGCCGACCTTAGTATACTAAACTAAAAAAGCGGGTTACTAGTAGATCCGTAGACTATACCCGATAGAATAGTACTATTAGCCGGAAAGCGGGTAAGTAGCGTATTATCTCCCGAGTAATACGAGACCCGATACTAGGCTACGCTAGAGATTAAGATATAGTTTAATATTAGTTAGTCGGTATATAGGCCTATACGGTAGTATATATATATATATATATATATAAAAATCAAAATAGGGTAGTATTAAACTAGAGTACTACTACTTCTGTACGTTTGTGTGATTCAATATGTATAACGTATTCGATAGAACAGTATATAGGCCTTAGGGCATTATAAGATACGTACTAGCGCTAGTATATAGCTGACTTAAAAAGAATACCTAAACCTACTTTTTAAAGACTATACCTTTATTCCATTAACAGTAGGGGATAATAACGCCCTACTGCTATAGCTAAAGACTAGAGAATAGGTATAGTACTAGTAGTAGCATCTGTCCTATATAAAAAACCAGCCTACTAGTAACGCTATAGTATAATATCGATCGGTATCTCTATGTCTTTTAGACTAAAACTAGCAGTTATAAAATTCTAGGTATCTATACTAAAAAGGACCTACCCGCTATATACTAGTTTTAATTATTTTGATCTAGGTAACTTTACTAATATAGCCCCTATTATTTCAAACTTTCTATACTAATTCGTCTAAACTGTAGCTTCTACTACCTATAAATCCTAGTATATATATAATTATTGTTAGTTTCTAGCTGTTAGTACTTATTAGTACTAGTATAGCTTATATTATTCTTAGGATATAACCGCTAGCCTTTCGTTATCCCCCTTGTTTTTTAGTTAAGCTACCTTTGTTAGACTCTAGAAGCCTCGAAAGTAGTTACGATATTGTAAAGGGCGACCTATAGCTATAGTACGGCGTATATAGGAAGTTACGAGTGCGGAGAAGATTTGGCTATAGTTAGATTTCAAGTCTAACTATAGCCGGGGCTTTCAACTAGTAGCTAGTTCTATACTTATATACGTGCCTATATAGGCAATAATTATCCTATATTCATCCTATGCCCGTGCCTATGCCTATATCTATGCCCTTATCCTATAAGGATAACGACGTTGTAGTTCTTAGTATAGTTGCAGGTATCGGCACTAAGGTTATAGTCTGTTATAGGCGTTAGTATAGGCATTGCTATAGCCAAAGCTCTAGACTTACTCTTCTTGGCCTTCTTAGCCTAGCAACCTAGGCAAGGCACTATAGCCTCGGGGAACTCGGCACGGAACTCGCGGTTAGCCTTAGTTAGATCAATCTATATAGGCGTTAGTATAGGCAAAGGTATGTACGTAACCATTTATACCTTACCGTGCTTGCTGCGCCGGACGACGAAGGGCCTATTTAAGTTAGTATATAACTAGCGGTATAGGCATAGATCGGCATATACACCTCGCTATTACTCTTAGACTCAGACTTAGACTTAGTCTCTAAGTCTTCGATTGTCTCGGCAGATTTGGCCGGTGCTTTGCCCTTAGCTTTGCCCTTGCTCGGTATACCTAGGGCGTCGGGGCTGTATACGGATTAGTATAGGCAAAGGTAAGGGTAAAGATATAGCTATACTTGACCTCGTACAGATCCTAGGCATTATCGAAGAAATCTAAGGGATATATTAGTAAAAAGCTTTGCCTATAGAGCTGCCTAAACCTACTAATGCACTTTTTTGTCTTAGTCTTAGGCGTATACCGACTACTACGGTCCTTCTCCTTAGGCTGCTCGACTTTTCCCTTGTACTATATATGCGTTAGTATAGGTAAAGCTCTAGGTAGGGAGCTACGTATACTATAGATGATATATATAGCGAGAGCCGAAGTGTCGCGGTAGATAGTCTATAAGGTGTTAGCTTTAGGTATACGTATAGGCAAAGACAGAGTTATACACTATAGAAGCCCTTCTCTTCGTACAACTCCTTTAGTGTCTCTTCGTCTTCGTCTTTTCTATTATAGTGTTAGCAATAACTAGTAATATAGGCATAACACTGCATATACCTATCGCGATTCTTCTAGGTAGCTAGGAAGCGACCGAAGTTCTTAGATCCTGCCGGCATACGACAAGTTACCTTACCTATATAGGTGCGTACGGCCTCCTAGTTAGTCTTTAGGCAGATCTATAGGCATTAGTTTAGCTTATTGCATAGGTAGAAGAGAGATTACATACTACGATTTCTATCTTAGGTATGTTAAATAACTCGCCTTATAAGAGGCGCTTCTTATATTTGCGGTAGGAGCTCTATATAGGCATAAGTATAGGCAGATATATACCCTAGTCTCTATACTTACAGATTGCTCTAGTAGGGTGTTGTTCTAGGCAACGGTCTTAATATCTTATAGTATGTTAGGAGGTATATACAGAGCTATAGGCTTAGGTATAGTAGTATAGGGGAACTCGGTTAGCTGCGACATCGAAGTCGCCTTATTAGCTCGTCGCATATGTACATAGGTATATATAAAGGAATAGGGGTAGGGGCTAAGGGTAGATACGTACTAGTAGTATATTATAGAAAGAAAGGAAGAGAGTATACGCGCAAAGATACGCGTATAGATATCGCGCAACGCTTAGCGTAATAGAAGATCCTAGCGTAATGAAACTTTCGCGTACGGGACGCACCCGCTTTAGCGTCTACGGATCCCTATATCGATGGTCAACTCCGCGTTTAGCGTGGTCAAGCGCACTTGTCTCACGTCAAGTTGCGTAACGTTACCCACCACAGTCCCATTGGCATTCGCTTGGCCCGCCCAAGTATCCCTCAAAGCCCAGACAGCGACGGAGCTACTGGCCGTCTCATCGATGCCGCCGACATATATCGCCAAGGTGTCAAGCGGTGCGGTTGGGAAGAATGTCAAGGTGCCGGCAGCTTGGGCGCCATTCAAGAAGATCTCAATAATGGACCGATCAACGACAACACTCATGTCCCAAGATGCGGTAGCCGGGACAAAAGTGCCTTCCTCGGAGAACTTGTCGGAAAAGTACGGGTTGTCGAAGCCACGGATATGGCCTCGATCGATCCAGATTCCAGGTTCTCCGGCGACTTTTATTCCGCCTTGGATGTATTCGCCAGAGAGGGAAGAGGAGATTGTGAAATTTGCTGTTCCTTGGCGAGTGGATGAGGTGAGGTTCGTGATGTTGGTTTCGAAGTAGATGGCCCCTGAGTCTACGTGGCCGAAGTAGGTCATGATTGTGCCGTTGCCGAGAGATGAGTTGTATGCTAGCTCCGAGTCGACGACAGCGGAGATGTTGTGGATTTCGGAGATGAGGTCGTAGCCACGAGCCGAAATGTTGGCGATTGTGTGGGCTCGTGGGACTGTCATGGCGGAACGGAATTGGCCGTGCTCTAGCAAGCCTGTGGGCACGAGCTGGGTATATTCCCAGTTTGAAGCCCAGCCAAGCGCAATCTGCGGCTCATTGGCTGGGACACCATGGAAGAATTGGGCTGCGTAGTTGTCTTTGCCGAAGTCTGTGAATCGGGCAGCATCGTCGAATGGCTCGAAATGGGTGCCGTTGAAGTGGCCGGGGAAGTACTGCGAGACGCTACCGCCACGAGGTCCTCCTGGGTTCATGCTGATGAGCAGGAGCCAGATTGGCTCTTCTTGGCCACGCATGGGCATCTGCAGAAGATTCGGACATTCATACTGCACGCCGAGGTGGCCATGTTTGGTGAAATTGGAGGCGTGAGTCCATTGCTTGAGATCTGGAGACGTGAAGATGGCAATGACAAACTCTGCAGCATACGCAACGGTCATGACCCACTGGGCGGAGGGCTCGTGCCAGATGACGTACGGATCGCGGAACTGGGTACTGTTGATGTCCAGGACTGGGTTGGCCTCATATGCTTCGAAAGTGTAGCCATCGTCTCGGCTGTAGGCAATGGCTTGGTACTGTACACCCTGCACGCCCCCGGGATACTCGGCGAGCGTGTAGATGGCGACCACTCCATTGTCCTGGTGTGGGAAGAAGCCGGAGGTATTGTTTGGGTCAAGCACCGCGCTGCCGGAGAAGACGTACGTGTAGTTGTTTGGCGGCCAGAGCGCGATCTTTTGGTTCTCCCACGTATAGAGGTCCTCGGAGGTCGCGTGGCCCCAGTGCTAGAATAACATGCGGGTCAGGTTTGGAGAAGGACGCGGAGAAAATGCAGCGCGCACCCGCACCACGTACCTGATTGCCCGCGACGGGTGTCAAAGGATTGTACTGATAGTACATATGCCATAATGCATCTGCGCCTCGGTGCAGGCCATTGGGGTCTACGGAACATCAGCGAAGCATCACGCAGGCAGTACTGAATGTTGGCTCGCCATTCATGAAGTATCGCGGCGGAGTGAAGTGTACTCTGGGCCGCAAGTAGTCATTGTAGCTGCCCGGGACTGGTGCATCTGTGGGAATGCCAGGTGCGTAGTATGTCGCGCGGGCATTTGCTGATACTTGAGCGGCTGCTTGATCAGCCAGCAGAGCTGCTGCTGCGAGTATACTACACGACGACCACATGGCGGGAAAATAGGCACAACTCTACAAGACCCGTGTATCCTGGGTGCTACATTTCTTTTACTCCATCTAGGCTGCAACATCTGCCCCTCCCCGTCTAGCAAGTCTCCCCATCATCGTTCCATTGTGCATAAACAGGCATGGCGGCGCTTCTGATGCCACTCGCGGCCTGCAAAGTACGGCCCGATTTCCAGTCAGCCCTGCACCCTTCATCATGCTGCATGAATTGTCTGGCTACAGTGTAGTAGTGGGGTCTCCATCTCTTCTGGTCGAGGAGGAGCAGCGCGGAGAGGGTTTGGATCGGTCCTTCTGCGGCGTAAGGACGGCTGCATCTCGCGGCGAACGTCGCTCATGCTATCCGTATGCTCTTTGCTCCACTTGCCGATGCTTCGATGCACGAACAACTGGCAGTGGCAGTTTGGGGAACATAAGATGAAGATGCAGCATGGAAGAGGATGAAGAAGAAAAGAGGAAGAGGAAGAAAAGAGGAAGAGGAAGAAAAGAGGAAGAGGAGGAAGAAAAGAGGAAGAGGAAGAAAAGAGGAAGAGGAAGAAAAGAGGAAGAATTGTGCGCAGCTGAAAGGAAATTGCAGGGAGCTCACTGCAAGGTTCAGAACCTAACCTTGCAACACCCACGTGCGGAACATGCCGGTCATGGAGCAGCTTTGATTGCTCCCTCATCAAATCTCATCAAACCCTTTCCTTTCTATTTTGGTCCAGGTTCCAGCTCAACTTCCACGTTGCCTTAATATACGATGCGCTGGAACCCGCACCGTCCACCACCGTCTTCACCGACACACGCTAGGCGGAAATGGATCTGCTTCGTCGCTTCGGCGCTCTGTTAGACAACGACGACATCCCGTGGAAGACAATCATCATCACCTTCGGTGTCGCCGAATATGCCCTCGAGACCTACCTCGCCTACCGTCAATTCCAAGTTCAGCAGAAGAAGACAATTCCCCGGCAGCTGAAGAGCGAGGTTGATCAGGAGACTTTTGATAAGGCACAGAGCTATGGAAGGGCCAAAGCAAAATTCGAATTCGCGACCAACACATGGGGCGTCGCAAAGAAGCTGGCAGAGGTCCAATACAATATCATTCCGCTGCTCTGGCGTGTCTCTGGCACTCTGGTTGCGAAATACGGCACATGGGGCTTGACTGGAGAGATCACTCAGTCTCTCGTCTTCATCTTCGCCAATGCCTGGATCGACACGCTTCTCGGCCTGCCCTTCAGCTACTATCATCATTTCGTCCTGGAGGAGAAATTCGGTTTCAACAAGCAGACCGTCAAGCTGTGGCTTACCGACATCGTGAAGTCTCAAGCCATCGGCATTGCGTTTGGTGTGCCCATCGGAGCCGCCTTCCTCAAGATCATCCGGGCTACAGGTGACAACTTCTTCTTCTACATCTGGGTCTTCCTGCTCTTCGTCCAGCTTGGTGCCATCACCATCTACCCAACCGTCATTGTCCCGCTCTTCAACAAGCTTACTCCTCTCCAGCCAGGCGATCTCAAGGATCGAATCGATGCTCTTGCCGGACGCCTCCAATTCCCACTTGGTGAGCTACAAGTCATCGATGGCTCAAAGCGTTCCTCCCATAGCAATGCATATTTCTCTGGTCTTCCATATCTGAAGAAGAAGATTGTGCTTTACGACACACTCATCGAACAACAGGAGACCAAGGAAATTGAGGCAGTGTTGGCTCATGAGCTCGGTCACTGGAAGGAGAATCACACAGCCAAACTGCTCGGCATCGGCTCAACGCATCTCTTCGCTATCTTCGCCCTGTTCAGCGCCTTCATCCACAACAACTCCCTATACAAGCACTTCGGCTTCCCAACTGAGCGACCCATCATCATTGGCTTCATCCTCTTCAACATGGTTCTCTCGCCCACTGATCACGCCTTGAAGCTGATCATGAACACAATCACACGAAAATTCGAGTACCAGGCCGACAAGTTCTCGTACGATTTAGGATACAAGGCGGAACTCGCAAGCTCTCTCATCAAAATCAACATCAAGAACCTCTCTTCAATGGATGCCGACTGGATGTACAGTGCTTACCACCATTCGCATCCCATCCTCACCGAGCGATTACGCGCTCTTGGCTACTCTTCGGAACGTAAGGTGTCGAAGGACAAGCCCAAGGTTGCTGGTGAAGCCCCCGAAAGCATTAAGAAGTCAGAGTTCGCAAGCCAGGCCAATGGTGACAGGAAGGAGCTGTAGGATGGCGCCTCCGAGCATCAGGATCAGGATGATGGTGTCAATGGGCATGAGAGCAATGCGACAGTCGGACCTCCTGTGTTATCTAATAATCCCTCTCCCGTGTCTCGACTTCAGACATGGTTGGAGTTCACCCTCGACCTCTACATCAAAGTCGCCGGCCTTCCGATTCTGTTCTGGGTCTATTGCGGAGACACATGTGGCTGGGCAATTCCAAATGTTCGCCGCGCCTCTGCTCGCCTGTATGGTCCAGTCGATGAGTTTGCAGGCGAAGACCATGACAGCGTCATTGGTCATTGATGCCACACTCCGTGAGTAGACATCCGTCTCCTGTAGGTATAGCAGTAGCATATCTTAGTATACACCGGCTGTGAGAACCACTTTCTATCGAAGAGGCCATTCCATGATCATGATACTCTACCGCGCCAGCCTCTCGCCTTTTTTCGCAGCATGGTTTTCTTTTTGGCTTTCCCTGGAGTATCAATCAATGCAGAAGCAGTTCGCCTAAAGCCCCAATACCGGTGAAACTCTGAGCATGTCTCTCACTTCACGTGCCTCGCCTGCCAGTTCCCTTAACACCTCCACGAGCTTATTCTCTAGTGCCGCCAGTAAATGTAACCAAGAGTGCAGCAACATCGTTTGTCTCCTGGGGAGGGCTCCGGTTCTGCGACCAGTAATAGTCGTAGTTATCCAGCACGTACCCAGAGATTTGCGGGATCATCAAAGTCGGTCGCGGAGGGAGGGAGAGGCGTAATCAGTCCGAAGGCGACTTCGCTAGGGAAATCCCAGAATCTGATTGATCGCCGTCATATGATCAGCCGGCGAGATATGCGGAAGGTATTCTTTCTCGAAATCTAACACCACGAGCTTTGCCAACTCAACATCACAGCCGAGGCCGGTATGCTGAATTACAAAGTTACACTGGATTCTCTCGATCGTTTCAGGGGTGGGAATGTAAGGGCGTGCAGGAGGAGGAGGCTGAGGAGGATGAGGAGGATAGTACATGGCCGGAGGAGGTGGTGGATAGTGCATGGCCGGAGGAGGTGGTGGATAGTGCATGTTCGGAGGAGGAGGTGGATAGTGCATGGCCGGAGGAGGAGGTGGATAGTGCATGGCCGGAGGAGGTGGAGGATAGTGCATGATCGGACGAGGTGGATTCGAAACGTTTGCTGGATTCCGACCAAACCCAGAGGGACCTGGAGGATTCAGGGGGTTGCGAAATGGAACTACCGGAGGAGGCGGGACCCAGTTCGGAGGCGGCAGCGGGAATGCGAAGTCCCGTGGAATAGCAGACCTCTGGGTTCGCCGTCCTTCGAAAAATGGCCTCAACCGTCGGATCTCTTGCCTGACAAATGGCTGAATGTCTCTCATTCCAGGATTGTTGCTTCGCGTATCCCGGACCATGGCCAGCTCTACATTTTCGTGCGTTTCGGATTGCTCCAAGGTGCGGACTTTCCACCAAAATGTGTACTCCGCGTGGGTAGCTACATATGGTGCTCTGTTGGTATCAATGACGGCGCCGGCGGGAGCATTGAAACCAGGTTGAAGGTACAGAGTGGGAGGGCCAGTTGCAGCAGCGATGCGGCCAGCGGGATACAGCTGGGCAATGCTAGGGGCGGAGGCCGGAGGTAGTGGCAGACCAGTGGTGCCGTTGAGGAAGGCGACGACAATGGTCATGCCAGAGAGAAGAGGGCGTATGATGCGAGTCATCGTTGCTTCTTGATACGTAGTCGGGAGTACTACACAGCGTCAGAGGGAGTCCGACTCTGCCAAAGAGGAGTGCGAGAGCATACTACTTCCGTCAAATTCTCAAGGCACTGCCGTCGAGGCGAATACCGGAGGCAAAAATGTGCTTCGAGGTGTGAAAACGGCCTGTCAAGTGAGCACGGGTTAATACTATGGAGGGCTGCTTCGAGTGTTGCTCGGGGTGTCTGGGTTTGAATCGGAAATGGAGAGAGAAGGGCCACTCTTTTATAGGCAGGGTAGAGGACTCTGCCAGAGCGTCGATTGCTGCTCTCCAGTATGACGGCCCTCATGATATGCTGCTGGTGGGTTTGATAGCTTAGTCCGGCGGCACGTGGCGGAGTTGCGTTGTTTGTTTGCCGCACTCGAGTGAGGTGCGCGTGCTTCACCTGCGGTATTTCGCTCTATCAGCCTCATAGTTCACATGATGAGCTTCGGGTTGCTCGCGTGATAGCGGAGTTCTGACATCCATGAGAGCGGGGCCATGTCATTGCAGATAGTTTGAAGACAGCATAGCCGTGGCGTGACGGTTAGCGAAGAGGTATCATTGCAATTAGCGAAGTTGTATCACTCCAGTAGGCTGATCCCCGGCCTCTTGATTAGCAGAGCCCTATCCTTCAAATGGTATATCTGAAGTTCACATATCCCTCGAGCACTTTCTCTCCACGGTCAGCTTTCCTGTTCTCGTACCTGAAGTATACAGTGTTAATGCAGACCAGAACCACAATCAAGGAGTTGAATGCTAGGCTCAGATAGACAGCCAGATGATACTTCGGTGCATCACGGGTGCGATACATCAGTGATCCAGCAATACCACCAATGCCGCCGAATCCAATCAGGGTAGCGGACGTGAAGGCGCGCTTCCAGTGACCTCGAACGTTGTTTGCCTGTACGTGTCAGCATCTTAGCATCTTGCTGCTTTGTTTCAGGACGGATGATATATACCTGATATGCCATAATGGTCGGTATTGCCGCATGAGCACCACCTGCGATCAGGAATGTCGAAAAGTATCGAACGCCGGATGATTTGGCGAAGCCGAGCAAAGGCAGACCAATAAAGCCTTGCAATGCGTTCAGGAACAGCAAGGGTCCGCGTATCCGATATCTGTCGCCAAACCACGCAAAGACGTAGCAAAGAATGGCGGCATAGATATACTGTGGAGCAGCGAGGACTTGCGAAAGTGCAATGCTATAGCCCATGTTCCGCCTCAGAATGATGGGCAAGAAGAAGGACATGCCATATCCTGTAGAAGTCGCACAGCTATAAGAGGTTAGCAAGATCGGAGATATTGACGGCATGAGTCTCACAAGAAAAGTAGGGCAAAACTCCAGACCTTGGGATCCGCGCCGGAAGCGATCCACTTTCGAAAGTCCCATGGCTCGGCTACAGCGTCGCCTCTGTCTTTGTTGATGCGTCGAATGATGAAGTCGATTTCGTCATTGGCCAGGAAACTCCAATGCTTCCTCTCCTTGCATCGATCGGGAAAGTCGACGACAAAGATATAGCCAAGGACTCCAAGTGTCATCGTAATGATGCCATACATGATGAAACTGCACGAGGTCAGCAGGCTCGTCTCAAGGACTGGGGAAATTGCATACATCCACCGCCACCCGGCGTGACCAGCGAGTCCATCCATTTTCGAGACACCGTACGCAAGAATGCCAGATACTCCAGCAGCAGCCAGACCAAGCAGGTAAAACAGGGCGAACCGCCTTTGCTGATCGTACCTTGCGTACCATGCGGACAGAAGGTATACGCATCCTGGAAAGTATCCAGCCTATTCAATTAGATGCGCGCTCGGCTCAACGAGTGTATAGTGATGCTTACCTCGAATAAGCCGAGCAACAACCGCAGGGGAATCATCGTAGTCCACTTCTGCACAAAGCCGGCGCCGACCATCACTGCACCCCACGCAACGCAAAGGCCGGGAAGAAAGAGCCTTGGGCCAAGTTTACGAGTCAAGATAGTTGCAGGAGGTTGGAACAAAACATATGTGACGAAGAAAACCAGCCCTATGGTTGACTTGTTGTCCGGTCAGCGCCGCATCGCAGAGAGGAAGGGAGGATGCGAGACATACATATCTAAACCCCTTATTCATGTCCAAATCAACGTTCATACCAGCAATGGCTGCGTTGGGCAGATTGACCCGGTCCATCAGCGATACACAATACATGAGGCCAAGAATGAAGACAAGGCGTTTATCGATCTTGTGGATGATCTTTCGTTGCTCACGAAGGGAGAAGACGGGGTCGACATCTAGTGGCTCGGCTTCCTGTACTTGGTTCTCTTGATCCGAGGATGCTTCTGATGAGTGTATCGCAGTGCCATCCACTTCGGCAATGTCTTTTTGGTCATCGTTGAACCGCATCGTGTTTGGGCTGCGCTTGGGCATGAGTTCGCAAGAGCGCTGCTGGAAGATTTGTTGTGCAGACTTGCGTCTGCGGACTATCCACCCCTGTATACACTTTTCCTCCGAGCAGACCAAGAGCATCGTAAGAAATCCTTGAAAGCTTTCGAGGAAATGTGTTCGCACTAGGGAGATGGCCTAGCATCTTCGCCTCTACCCTAGATCAATCTCACGCAGAGATGCATGGAAGTCCTTTGACGATGATATCAATGCCGAAGACGCCAGCATTGGCATTCTGCACTTCGCCATGTACATCCTGGTGGACTTTTCCTAATCCGAGGTTACGACTACCGTGCCGATACGAGATGCGTTCGGGGCGGGATGCTGCGGTTCCAAGAGCCAGGGTTCTCTGAATCGCTTGCATTCTGGCTAACTCAGAAGAAGTAGTGACGCCGTAGCAGCGATTCATTTCACCGCCCGCGCCAAAGAGTTCCAAGCCATCGCCCAGGAAGTTTCGACATAATGCTGGTCACCACGCTGTCTGGCGCCCGGACAAATGCGGCACACCAAACGAAGGCCGTTGACACATGCCGAGGTGTTCATCATGGTCCGCGGTCATGCTGTCCGCAGCATTCGATGTTGGAACAGACTCGTGCCCTATTAGTAATCGTGATGGAAGGAGAGGAAGAGAAGACAGTGCTGTTGTGAAGTGTGAAGTGAAGTCAGGATCTCCCCCGCCTTGAGGCTCGGCAAGATCGCGGCAACAGACCTCAATCACGACCATCCTGGGAATCTCATCAAACACACCGACCGCACATCGCAGTCATGGCGGAAGACAATAGCACATTGGGGACCGGAGGCACGCGCTTCGACGAAGCTGCAGAGCTGGCCAAGGTGAGTACAGTAGAATCTCAGGACCCAGCGCGGAATCCAAGCTGACTATACCTAGGCACTGCAGGAACTCCAGAAAGGCGAGCGGACGGCGACAGAGATGGAGAAGAAGCTAGATGCCATGGAAGCCAAGATTGAAGCCTTACTTGCAGAGGCAGAGCAGAATCAGCAGACAGCAGATCGGTTGAAGCCGGAGGCGGCCGGAGTGGGAGAGGAAGATAAGAAGGAATGAAGTAGGAGATCAGCAGCACAGCGAAATCTTGCTCTGACTTGCCTCGAGCACGGCCGCAAGAAGCATGGCTTTTGGCTCTATGTCTATGCTTCGCCCGATCTCGCGGACACAGCAGGCTGATGCGGGAACCCTCAAAGCCCACCCACAGTTGCTGGCTTGACGCCCTGATTGTGCGCCTCCAATGCCGCGCTCAAGTCATAGACTCTCTTGCTATCCTTCTCGAAGACGCCAATCTCGGTGATGATGCCGTCAATCAGTTCAGCAGGCGTGACATCGAACGACGGGTTCCACACATTGATACCCTTGGCCGCAATGCTGATGGTCTCGACCTGGTCTAAATCATTCAATCTCGGCCCCGTCAGCATTGTCATCTCTTCGCCTGGGCGCTCCTCGATTACGATATCTGCTCCAGACCTGGTGTTGAGGTCGATCGTGGTGCGAGGCGCTGCAACGAGGAATTTGACGCCATGGTACTTTGCCGTGATGGCGAGCTGGTACGTGCCGATTTTGTTGGCAGTGTCTCCATTCGCTGCCACACGATCTGCGCCAACTACAATCGCGGTAATGCGTTTTTCGGGGCCCTGGAGTCGCAGGAGTGCAGAAGCCATGGAGTCGGTGATAAGAGTAGCCGGAATCTTGTCATGCACAAGTTCGAAGGCAGTCAATCTCGAGCCTTGGTTGTATGGCCGCGTTTCGGTGCAGAAAGCGTGCTTAAGAGATCCATTGGCATGTAATGACCGGATCACACCCAGAGCAGTTCCGTAGCCAGCAGTAGCGAGAGATCCTGTGTTGCAGTGTGTCACGACGCTAACCTGTCCGCCGCCTGCAACCTTCTCAATCCATTCCGCGCCATATTTGCCAATGCCCTTGTTGTCGCTGACATCAGCTGCCAACATTGCTTGTGCAGCATCGCAGTATGTCTTGCTCACGCTGTCGCCATTCGCGTCGCTGATTGCTGCCGCACTCGTGACGATTTTCTTGAGTTTGCCAACTGCATCTGCCAAGTTGACGGCGGTTGGACGTGACGTGACTAGATAATCCAATTTCTCCACAATGAAAGCTGCAACTTCTTCGGCCTTGTCTGAGGTCTTGTTGTTGGAAAGCTCGACTGCGAGACTGAGTGCTGCGACGATTGCTATTGCTGGAGCGCCACGAGTGCGCATGTCTTTAATGGCGTGCCAGCCATCTTCAGCAGTTTTCACTTCGTCGTATTCTTCTTGATGTGGAAGCTTGAGTTGGTTGAGGATTTGAAGCGAGCAAGGCGCGTAGCGGATGGCTTCGAGCACCATTTTCGATTATCTCGCGCAGCGTTCACGACTGAGGTTGTCGTTTTCTACATTGACTGAAACGCTTTCAACTTTCAAGATTCACATGCAAGGTTTCAAATTTGGGCTATTACGCCATCAAATTAGCGCCGACCCACTTCGCACGTGATCAGCACCAAACGCGATGCAATTGTGAGTGACCTTCTCACACAGAGGCTATTCTGCCGCATAATAGATCCTCAGTCTTCTACTACCAAGCATTTTTCCATCAATGCTCTGTCTCATGATTGAGGCGTTAAGCTTGCTCCCAAATCGCACGTAGACATCCGCAATCTTTTCTCCACCTAGGTCAACCACATAGTGGAATATATCCTGCACGTCGTTTCGTTCAACAGTGTCCAGTAGCTCCTCGAGCTCATCTTTGAAGCTGTCCAGCCTCCAAGCAGCGATTCGCGCAATGCCTAGTACCGAGGTTGCTTCAGCCACATCCACCGCTTTCCGTTCGCCTCCAGCTGGTTGCCATGACTCTACTTCCTTTGGCTGTTCCCTCTTCTCAGGCATCTTCTTCGCGGTTGTTGCTTTCTTAGATTTTGTAACCTTCGTAGGCGTGGCAGCAGACGCCATGCTTGTCTTGCTGGGAGTGTCTTCAGTATCGCTCGTGTATTTTGGCCTTGTGCTTAGCGCAGCATTTGCATCTGTAATCCTGTCGAATGCAGATCCTGGAAGGAGGGCTCTAGTTTCTCGATTCCTGATCCTCGTCTTCTCCCGCATCTTGTCGAGCGGCGATTTCTTCTTTGGCGGCATATTGGCTGTGGGCTGTGTCGTCGAGCGTGGCGCCGAGGTTGCACAAATTGGCGAAAAACTTCTGGTTTCGATCGAGGATGAAGAATGCTCCGAGGGCTTTCCCCAGATTCTGTACCTAGGAAGATTGGTGAGTGGTAAGTGGTTGGTCAAAGTGGACCCTTTGTAAAACACTTTATAGCTCACCGGATTCAGTGTTCACAAGACAAAGAGCAAATATGAGCATCGACTCAGCATTGAATGCGACCCGCTTGAATCGCATTTCCTCAATTTTGCACCCTTCACTGGCGAAGTTGACCATCGAGGCCAAGTCTTGGACAGGGTAAAATCAGAGGAAGGGAAAGTAAGATCTGGCGCAAAGAACCGTGCGTCCAGCGTGCCACTACATCACAGACGCCATATCCAGCTTCTCCGTCGAGATCGAAGCTTTCCTGTGTTGAGAAAGCTCTGCAGCTTGGTCTCTTACAGCACTGTCTGGTCTGCTCGGGGATGATCTGGGCCGCCCGAGTTTTGGAACATTGACTGCGATCAGCGAGTGCTGTGCCGAATGGCAAATTGCAGCAGGAAGGCATTGAATTGTCACATCCTGACTTTTTCTTCTACGCGGCGTTCAGCCTCCCAAGTACCTCATGGACTTGAGCCGCCCAGAGTGGTTTCTCTTTCGGAAGTCAAGCGGCCAAAGACATCCTTACTTCCCACGAAGGTCAAAATCCGGTCAACGCGGTGGACTCTAATCGAATCAGAAACTCCTGAGAGTGCCGAGAGGGTGCCTGGAGAGGGTCATATCTCATAAGTTTGAGGCAGCGTTCGGGAGGGCCGTCGAAATCAGTTCGATGGGTTGAAGGCATCTGGCTCTAAAATCGCACCCAATTCTGTAAGCGATACAATCAAGTTATTCAAGGGGAGGTATTGGTATAGATTCGACAAGCGATCGAGGCAATCGTGTGCAAAGGTGATCTCGAGCGCGATTGAGAGGAGAGCAGCTGCTCAGGAGAACGATGAGGTCCGGAGCGTGGTTCTTGGCGAGCTGAATCAGCACCCAGCGCCGCTAGCAAGTGCCATCGCAACGGCATAGATTCCATCCTATCATGCCATAGCCACAATAATATGCATGGACACTCACTAGACTCCTGCGAAGCAATATGTAGGTACAGTATATCGACACAGCTGTCCAAATCTGCCTCAAGGCATCAGCTTTTCCCAATTCCATCGGCTCTACTTATCTTCAGGCATCACCCACACTGTCCGTCGACTCTCCGCAACCCACACTCACGACATGCGCCGCCTCATAATGAAAAGGAGCAGCCAATCTGCAGAGCCTGCCTCAAGACTAACCCTCCTCGGCCTTCCCTACGACATCCGCTACCTAATCTACCAACACGCCTTCCCACCAGGCCGACAAATCTACGTCCAAGCATCCCCAAGCACACTCCTCTGCATCACAAATGAAAGGATTCCGACCGCTCTTCTCTTATCATGCCAGACGATAAACCGCGAAGCAGGAGGATATCTCTACAACAATTACCTCTTCAATCTCGTAGGCAAGAAACAGGACTGCCTCGAACACTACGAACAGCTCCAGAGGACGATGGAGAAATATACTAGGACGCATGTGAATGTAGATGCCTTTAGTAATGGTGATCATTCGAAGACTATGGCTATTGCTTTACATGCAGGCGAGGGTAAGATGGAGATGTTGAGGAGGAGGGAGAGAGGATTGAAGAAGACGATACGAGAGTTGAGACGGGAAGTCAGTCAGGACAAACATGCACCTATACATGCGAGGCGGAATTATCTGATATTGCGAGGTCTCGCATTCGGGATGTGGGCTGGCTTGATAGGCTTGCTTGCACGGCTGCTTGGTGCTTACTAGATTATGTAGACAACTCTTCAGGCAGATCCTGTATCTTCACTACACTGACCCAAATATTCTCCTTATTCTCACTGTACGCGACAATCAAACTACCTTCTACTTGTACAGCTGTCGGATAGCTAAACCCATGATTCTTATACCTGTCTCTCGTCTCCGGCGCGATCACAGTGCTCGCATTGGTTCGTAGAACACCGATACTACGATACGCCTGCTGCACGCCAGTAGCGCGGGATTCTCGAGACATGGCTATGGTCAGAGGCTGGCGACTCAAGTCATCTCTGTACACGGGGTTGTGTATCAGGTAACGATCACCACTTGGAGTGATACGTCCTAGATACTGCTTCGTCTTGGCATCGGGGATGTTGGTCTTGTAGATCTTGTTCCCGTGCTGGGACAATGTGTATGGATACCAGCCTTTCCCTAACAAATCTTCGTTGTATTCGATCCAGACGGCATGCGTGTTGCTGGTAGGTGAAATGTCTCGCCAGAATCTCTGCCAGTAGCCTCCGGTTGATGATGCGGAGCGAACCGCGTGGGTCGGCTCCTGCATATTGTGGATATCATCAGCAGCGTAGAGCTTAGGGCCTGTTCTCTTTTGGCTACACCTCCGCTGCAGGTAGTGTCAATAGCCGCTGCCACTGTAAGTGAACAACTGTAGCCAATATCGACCTTCCGTATCTGTAAGAGAACAAGTTTATTAATATCACCTTCTTCTGTCGTATGTAGGTGTTGTTTGAACCTATAGTAGAGTGTTGCGACCTACAGTCGTGGTTTGTATAAGGGCTTGGCGTGTAGAAGCCCAATTTCGAGCTATATACCTTCGGGTGGAATTCAACCTCCTACTGCTACATATCACCCCTATATAACCTACAATATAGCTCGGACACACCGTCGCTTCTTCGTCGATAGTATTCTTAGCACATTCTTCAACTTAACAAGTCTTAGTAGTGTATTAAGCAAAACCGACCCTCCGTAATAGATACTAGCACCTAGCAGCGCATAGCCGCCCTCGCAAGCTGTATTGCTATAGCGCAATACTATAAAGAAGAGTTAGACCGCCGCGAGTACACGCATACCGACAATAGCTACAATAAGGCCGCCGAGCTATTATCTAATAAGAGGAAGCTATACGAGAACTGTCGGTTAAATAAGGACACCTTTATAGCCTTACTTAATGCCCTTTATAAGAAGGGTTTGCAGCTAACAAAGCACCTTACTGCGGCCGAGCGTTTAATGCACTTCCTTATAGTCGTGTCGCTATCCTTTAGCTTCCGGCAGATAGACCTTGTATTTAATAGGTCTAAGGCGACAGTCTATAAGTTATTCTATGCTGTTCTTGCTGCTTTGCTTAAGCTGTATAATGAGGTTATTAAAGAGCCGGATTATAATAGTACTCCTATAAAGATAATGAGCTTAACAAACAGCCGTAGAACAGGCAAATTCTTCCCTTAGTTTAAGGATTGTATCGGAGCCCTAGATAGCAGCTACATTATTGCTTATATGCCTCGCAATGAGCAGTTGCTATAGCGTAATAGGAAGGGCTCTATATCGCAGAATGTGCTAGCAGTCGTAGACTTTAATATGCTGTTTACTTATGTCCTTGCTAGATAGGAGGGCTCTATAAACGACGCGAGGGTGTTGCTATACGCTCGAGAGATGGAGGGCTTTAGTACTAATTGTCCGGACAACAAATACTATCTCGCAGATGCTAGTTATCCGAGTACTCGACTCACTGTTGTGCCCTTCCGTACAATACGTTATTACCTGAAGGAATAGCAAAGCGGTAACCGTCGACCTAAGAATAAATAGGAGCTATTCAACCTGCGGCACTCGAGTCTACGTAACGTTGTCGAGCGTACGTTTAGTATGCTAAAGGAGCGCTTTAAGATCCTTCGTAACACTAATAGACCTGCCTTCGACATAGAGATACAGACGGCTCTTGTTTATAGCCTAGTATACCTGCATAACTTCATCCGCCGGACTAATCTATCGGACGAGCTGATTGCTAATGAGTTCAAGCGCTAGAATAACGAGGAGCCGCTCTATAACGAAGAGGTCCGGTTAGGCAGTAGAAGGCGCGCTACTTGGACGCTCAGTTAAACAGCCTCTACTAAGAATAAGAAGATAAGCGCCTAGCGTACTAAGTGTGCAAGGAAGATGTAGCAAGACTATTTAATTGAGCTTAATAGCCGTAGATTAGCTATATAGCAGAAGGGAGTCAATAGCAAGGAAATGTAGATGCCTTAGTGCCTTGTCGTTATCGTGTTAAGCACTTTTACTAGCGCTAATCGCTAGAAAGTGGCTCAATCGACTTAACTCGTATAGAAATAGTGTAGATCTGAGTAGCTTCTTCCATATGTTAGTTATTATTTTGGAAGATTTTCCACTACCTCCGCGGAGCTAGTATACGCCTAAACCTTAACCGAATTAGATGATTTTTAAACGAGGTTAGAGCGCGTAATAAGTAGACTTTCCGCTGTTATATAAATATATAGTATAGGTGCCGTCTTAGTAGTGTAGTAGGCCATAATCGGTGCACTGGATTTGAATAGCAATGCAGCTAACACCTCCGCGGAGCTAAGCTAAATTAAGCTAAGGTCGGCTTCGAGGCCGACCGCTAAGCTAGAGACGTACACTAAATTGTTCAAATCTATATGCGATTAGAACACTACAATACACGGTCAGATATATATCAAAATTGGAGCGGAGCTTGTAATAGATATGTTCTCGATGACTTATAAATTTCAAATGAGTATAAGCATATAGTGTTGAATACTAGCATACGAGGTTTGTTGAAAGTCGGCCTCTCGTCTCTACTAAAAACGCGCTTCTCTTTATTGCCTTAGTGCCTCGTCGTTATCGTATTGATCACTTTTGCTAGCGCTAATCGCTAGAAAGTAGCTTAATCGACTCAACTCGTTCATTCGATATCGCTCTCGATATCCTCTTCTATACCATTATTAGCGGCAATCTCGCGGAGCTAGGTACGCCTATAGCGTACAGAGCCCTCGTAGAAGGACCTAGCTTCAAACTCGCTACTAGAGCCATCGTGGAAGGCCTTACTACAGGCCCTATAGAGCTTATAGGATAGATTGAAGTCGTTTAGGTTGTTAAGAGCCAACTTTACTAGAATGTCGGGTCTTATACTAAGAAGGCCTTGTATAATAGCGTTAGTAAGGCGGATAGCACCTCTACGAGGGCCCTTAGTATTGTTGCTAGTGATAGGCGCCTTAGCGGCGGAATAAATGTCCTAGCTCTATATACTATCGTCCTAAAAAGTAGCCTGTTTCGCCGGTGTTTAGGCCGTTTCTAAGGGAGTCTTCTGCGGCTTAGTAGGAGGCAAGTTCTCTTTGTCGGTCTCGTTGTTACTAATTGATATAGACTCCTTAGACTTCGAGGATTTAGCCTTCTTGTTAGCCTTCTTATTGGCTTTAGTGGACAGTCGTTTCTTAGAAGCACTGGCGCCGCCCTTAGAAGCCTTGCCTATAGCGGTCTTATTGCTATAGATTGTAGCGTAGAGGGCAACGTATAGTATAGGGTAATCTCTTAGAGGCTTCGCGTTCTTATAGACCTTCTTAGCAAGGTAGTCCTTCTATACAAAGGAGTTAGCAGTAATAGTGCTAGTGTCGTAGTTAATGCCGAAGCCAGACTCGTATTTAAGCGCTATAAAGGCAGCGTAAAGAGCCTTGTAGAACAGTAGCTTCGTACGGCACTGTTTCTACGAGATAGACCGCTTTGCTTAACGAGATACGTTAGACAATACATCCTCGCGAGCCTATAGCTTTAATTAACCGTTACGGTAGTTGTTGAGGTCTATTTAAAGGGCTACGTTCTCGAGGAGGATTTGTTCTATCTTAGCTGTCTAAACAAGTCGACCTTCTTTATTAGAAGAGGTGTCCTTATCGCTAGAACCGGCCTCTACATTGTCCTATAGGGCGGCAATATTCTCTCTAATATCTTCCTAAGTATTAACAAGCTAGCTGTCTATTAAGGCGACCTATATAGCGGATAGGGTGCTAGTAGGTGCTAACTAGGTATCGTCGGAGGTAGCTTAAGGAGTGGATTTAGTTATAGTAATTGTACGATTTGTTGTTTAACGAGGAGGTGTTGGATCGAAATGATTCTTGCGGCAAATTAAAGCGCCGTATCTTAACAATTTTATAGCGTGCATCGTAGTATATATATACCTCGTTGTTGCTGTTGTTAGTAATAATAGAAAGCAAAGAATTCGTCGTATTCTTAGGGAAGTGCAAATTCTGCCTGCTAAGCCCTATACGGGTGTTACCGTCGGTGGATACAGGCGCCTATACAGCTAGTATTCAGCTCTCGTTACATTCTATAAAGGACAACTGCTACTGAAAGTGAACAAGTGCGTTATAGGAAGGTGCTATATAGTCTATTGGAAGCGACGGCGCCATTAGAAGGTCCATAGGTGGCTGATACTGCCCTGGTTTGGTGCCAATTCAATCTATACTAGGTGCCACGACCTACAGTAGAGGTGCAGCTGAAAGAGAACAGGCCCTTATGGTTGTAGAGCCATGGAGACCATGCGGGTGCTTGATCTGGCTCTCGAAGGATGGCATTGATTTTCTCGGCATCTGCACAGTCTTTCATGCCATATTTGATCCCATAGACAGTCTGTGAGAAAAGCTGAGGTCCTGTGTATTCGTTCTTTTCGATCCAGCATGGATCACCAGCTGCAGAGCCAAGTTCTTTGTTGATTAGGACTGCAATGCGCCCAGCAGACTGTTTGTCTCCTGGACATGCTACGCTTGCACCCTGCCCTATGGCGTAGAGCTTGTCCGATTCTCGGATGTGGACGAATGTCAGGGCCTGCCAAGCTCTTTGGATTATGTTGCGACTGCACCAGTACTCGAAATTCTTAGTATCTGTCTGATTCGGCAGAAGCGCTGCTGGCATGACCACTCGATTCGCGCTCCAAGTCAAGCCACCATCCCCGGAGACTGAGATCCGGACATCTTGTCCCATGCTGTCCTCGTCCACTGGAGCAGACGAAAAGATAAGATACGTCTTGCTCTCCAAATAGAACAATTCTGGATGATGTGCATAAGTGCGGCCGGCCGATACGCCATTGTATACTTTAATCTCCTTGACGATAGGGATCTGGTGCCATCCGGCGAAGAGTAAGTCATTGGTGTTCATTGCAGGCTTGACCTGCCATAGTTGATCGGCTGGAGGGTGCTCTGCTGCTGCCAGGCCAAGGAACAGCATGAGAGCCTTCCATGGTCTCATGATTGTTCAGTAGATTCAGACGCGAATGCCAAACGCGGTGTCGCTCGGGGTGCGGAGGTCTGTTGAGAGTCTTGCAGTCATGAAGAGCAATTCGCGACATCTCCCTGACCAACACTGGCTTTTGGAGGGACTGCATGAAAGGGGGCGAGTTACCGGCTAAAAGGGGACCATGTTTTCCCGGGATGGTGATTGAGCCTCTACGGTCGAATAATAATAACACGAGAGGAGATTGCAACGTCATGTGAGCTTCGTCCGAACGAGCCACATGCATGATGCAACGTCGGGGAGCGAGAAGAGGTGAGGTCAGAACAGGCTCGCGGAAAATCGTCGATCGGCGGCGGGCATCCATCCGATTCTGCTTGAGGCCAAGCTTGGGATCGTGATCTGGTGTCCGTTATAGAATAGACACAGCGAAGATGGAGGTGGAGCTTTGGGAGAAAGGTACGGCCCGTTTCGCTGCCACGTGCGGTCAAGCCTTTGATATCATCATCATCGGAGTAGTAGTGGGCACGGTGGCTTGCATCGAGCGAGCGGAGGAGAGGGTCTTCGCGGGTCTGTGCGGGCCTGGACTGCATCGACGCTGATCGATCGCCCTGCACCTTTGCCTTCTCCTTTGCAGAACTGCGAAACAGCACATCGCGATGCCCATTCACGTGTGTCGGTGGGAGCTGACCGCTGACGGCGCCAGCTGCTACTCAAACTTCGCTATCCCAGAACCCGCACCAGAGCGTAAGCCGTGACACCGCTCTCTCCTGCAAATTCACCGTCCTTCTCGCTCGCCAGCTCTCTCATACGCGTGGTGGCTTGCAGGCGTGCCTCGAGGGAGCGGGAAAAGCCATGCATTACGGTATGTGGGCGGCGCGTGCTGAAGTAGAGGCTGGGCGACGACATCCGACTGATCGAGAGCTGCAGTTCGCTTCTTGAAGACACCCACAGTCACTGTGGATCGCGGCACCGTCACCCTCAAAGCCGTCCTGACCCTCACCACCGATCTGGGAGAGACGTTCTATCCCAACCACCTCGAATTGATAGCCTCTCTGCGCGACACGCCCGAAGATGGGGACATATACTTGAGGAAAAGGCTGCAATGGGAGGCGGGAGCACGATCGGTCAATCTGTCCATTGATCTGTCGCGGCAGGACATAGAATGGCCGGCGTGCATACACGTTGCCGTGAGAGGACATCAGTCGGCAGGATGTGGTTATGTGCCTCCCTTTGTCGATGCTTGGAGCGGCGCGCTGAACCCCACCAAAGGCCAATTTTCTTCGGGCTGGAGAGTGGAACGAAGGTTCACCAATGTCATGGAGAGACAGCTGTCGCTGCTTGAGGATGCGGGTGACAGCATCGCAAGGCACCTCTGGGATGGCAGCCAGGCCCTGGCCCACCATATCGACCAGACCCTCTCGCTACAAAGCCAGCACACACTCCCACTTCTGGAGTACGTGCTGCTGCAAGCTGCCTATCGAAGACTCAATGCCATCGAGCTTGGTTGTGGTTGTGGCACTGTCGGCATCAGTGTCGCGCAAGCCATTCCGGATTGTGACATCTTGCTTACGGACCTGGATGAGGTCACTGAACTGGTCGAGGCCAACATCGAACGCTGTAATGCAGCCATGTCGTCGAAAGTAAGATTTCAGGCACTTAACTGGTTGGAGCCTCTGCCGCAAAATCTGGAGAGCAGAAAGAACGACTTGATCATCGTTTCCGAATGCACCTACAATACTGACACGTTAGAGCCGCTGGTTGGAATACTGGTCTCTCTCATCGTGCGATCGCCGAAAGCTGTCATTTGTGTGTGCACAAAGACTCGACACGAAAGCGAGGCTGTCTTCTTCGACCTCATGAAAAATGCTGGTCTCATCGAAGAGGGCAGCATGAGATTACCGCTACCAGGCGAGCCGGGACATGGCTACTCCGATTCTGCTACAGATGTTGGTCTGCACTTGTTTCACGGAAAGGATCATCGACTAAGTCTGAGTCCCCGAAACCAGAGCGAAGATCAAATACCCAAAGTCAAAGTCACGAAGCGGTGCAAATCGAGATGAGTGCGGTATGATATGCCGTGTTAAATTCATACCAGCATGCATGCTTCGCCACAGGAGGAGAAGCCGTACATGAAAGAATCGGAGAGTCAAGTGCATGACTTCAGCATGAGCCCGCCAATCGGCGTTCTGGGAGGGCAAGTGGATAGCGACAGTCACGAGATATGAGCTTCAAAAGCATTCGAGGTGTTGGCTATTCTGTCAGGCATGATCAAGGTCAGTCGCAGCTAAACCTCAATTGCGATGAACCTGCTGTGCTTTAGCGGGCATTATGATATGGCCCACGCAATTATCATTATTGGCGAGGTGGCAGTTACAGGTCAATGACATCCCATTCCCGCAGTTGGAGGACCTCTCGTGACGTCCAAGCAATCGCCCGCTGACATGAATTCGATGCACATCTGTTGCCATCCTTGGCAACTGCCTCGACATTCGAGTTTGCTAGTCTCGAGGGAGCAGCATTCGGTCAGCCCGATGACTTCCAATTGCACTGGTATCATGACCAGCCTGATCATGGGGGACGCCTCTGCGCTGGCAGCTCGTTCTCAAAACCGGGCCTCTTTCCCCCCACCCATTCTGATTTCCTTTCCTCCACTACAGCAACGACCAAGCTCACCTTCGACAGTCCTAACACTACCAAAGCACAGCAAAGCGAACCAAAAGCCTCAGAGCATCGACCACCGCGGAGCGACACCAACCTCAAGTGACCTTGAGAGGTTGCTGACACACCTCACTGCCGACACTCTCGGCTCTATCAGAGAAACAGTACCAAGGTGTTCACCTCCCTCTTCGCAAATCTTGTGAGACGGTGACTAATGGAAGCGAGTCAGACTGCTCATTGCTCACGTGAGCCATCAGACTATTGACACCTTCTCACCTGCCCTTGCTCAACTCTCCAAAGCAGCCTTGACAAAGTCGCGACCTCTCCTCGCCTTTCTTGATTAGCTTGCGCCGACAGAAGCGAATCAGGCTGTGATCCACCCACGTGATCCATAAGGCCAGCATCACATTTGGCTGACGGAGCGGCGTAGATGATTCCTCCACAAATCTTGATACTCTTCCTGCCTCTGGCCTCGCTCACGGGCGCCAGTCCCATTTCTGCGAAGACGCGCTTCAACGAGGCTTCGCTTACCGAGCCACTCAATGGACGCTCAGTGTCTGTCCTTGATGGCGTTCTCCAGAAGCGAGCTCCGCCTCGTCCCGTTCAGCCTGACGACCCGCCTAAGACCCAGTCGGCTCCCAACCCTGATGACCCAAAGGGAGGTTGGGCCTTGCTAGAGACCATCAATTTGCCCGATACCTTTGGAGATCTCAGTGTTCCACTGGTGCCCAACTCTGCTTCCGCACCGGCATCTGAGCAGGCCAATACTAAGCCTGACGCCAACAAAGGCGCCTCGAAGCTTGAGACCCGTCAGCAACCAGGCACCCAGGAGCAGCATCAATGGGCCTATAGCGCCTACCGGGGCTATATTGATTCTGACCCAAGGAACAATGACAAGAAGGGTTTGAACAGGCATCGTGATGCCATTCTGAAAGTCAGCAACGACATGTTGGCAAAATACCCAACCCTGTTTAGCGGCGGCGACAGAGAAGAACACGCCATCAATGATTGTAACATATGGGTCCGAGAAGGCAAGCTCTTGGTCGATCCAGATGCATTTGAGCCAGCTCTAGACATGTCGATGTTAACTCCTGACCTCGATCGGCTTTGGACCCGCATTGAATCTGTCGAGAATTCCGGAATAGATCATAAGAAGATGTCGCGAGAGCTGGGTCGCACATGGCTCGAGTTGCATCCGGAACTGCAAACTGTCGACTCAGCCACGGAGGACAGTTACCTAGTACGTGAAAACTTGCGGTTCAGAATGGAGGGAAGAGGGAACAGGCGCGGTCCAGTGACACCTGGCCACATTCCATCACCTCGCTATTCTGCACAGGGTCATGGTCAAGCCGGCCCCAGTCAGCAAGCTCAGCAACCACCTGCGCTACCTCAAGCCGGCCCAAGTCAGCAAGCTCAGCAACCACCTGCACTACCTCAAGCCGGCCCAAGTCAGCAAGCTCAGCAACCACCTGCGCCACCTCAAGCCGGCCCTTCTCGCAGAGACAGAAACATGGCCCTTGTCCGACAGCGATATCGAAAGTATCTCGATGATGAGGGCCTGTCCGAGAACGATGCAGTCAAGGAATGTGTGACAGACATCCTGCTAAAACTGCCCCATCTATCCTGGGAGGCATGTGAGGATGCTGTGCGCCTGTCACTGCAGTGCAGCACGCCTCCAGAATTGCATTGACCGGTGTAACTTTGGGAATTGAGCTCTTGCTTCTTATTGTTGATCAAGGTCCTGTTCTTGATTCGACCTCTGCCAAGTATGCTTGGCCATGGCATTATGGTTGAGTGTTTAATACTGGACACTTTGATTGAGTCTGAAGCGAGTGTGTTTGATATCTGCCGCTGCGTTCTCCAATCAAGCGAGGATTCAGTCTTACATAGTTAAGACTGAACTTCTCATCATTCATGAACCCACCATGGTTGCACACCGCACTCTATGGCGTGTAATCAAAGCGATCATTGCTATTTTCGTAGCTCTGGACGAGAGCTAGCTACACGACCGCAAAGACCATCGGGAGATCCACGTCCTCAGTGAGCGACTTCAGCGTGCAATTCGAAATCATCTCCAAATGATCCTCCACCAACGGTGCCCTTGACCCGAGAGCGAGCCTGGTTCTGATCCCATGGCCAAACTGCCGGCTGGATGCTTTCATTGTAGCAACCAATTCGAAGAGAGAGCACAGCCATGCTCGCCACGCGTGCGCTCCAACCATTATGTCTCTCCAAAGCCTCCCCTTCGTACGTGCCGTCCTTGCCGATCTTTTGTAAAACTGCTGGGGCAAGCGACCTTCACCTGGTCGAACCTCGTCTAGCTGTGCAGCATGAGCAAGCAATCAGGATGTCCCTCTGATCTCACTTCCTCCATGGCCGATAGATCGACGTTGTGACAAGCTCGCACGAGGAGCTGCTCAATATGCAATGAATATCCGCCTCCAATCGAAAAAATATCAGCCAGGAGTAGCTGTGTGATCTTCGCAAGCAATGAGAACAACGCTGGTACAACTTCATTCATCAATCTGAAGAATGTTCTTCATAACCAACCGCCAGAACTTGCCAGCTCTTACACGTCTCCGCCTCCTCCGCCCTGCGGGAAAGTGCGTTCGATGACCAGTTGCAGCTCAGTCTTATGAATCTGCTCAGCCTCAGCTATATAGGTAGCTGCACAACTCCAACATCCCATCAAAATCCTCATTCCTCCATGCTGTCAACGGCTCAACAAGTCCGTGAGAACAAGGAAAATCTGCTGATACCCCAAAGGCTCTCCGCCGTGATGGCTGATGGCAGTGCGAGGCCAATGACTAGCTGTGCAATGGCAGCAATCAATCATTCCGCCTCTCCACATGTACCTCAGACCTTCACCGCCTTGTCCAACCGGATTTTTGCATAGTGCTGTCCAGCAGTAGGACGTATGCAAGCGAGTCGTACATCACTAGCAACGAACTAGATCGTGTTTCTAATGCTACACAAAGCTTCTCCGCTTTGTGTTGCGATTTCTTCGTCACGGGAGGTCGCAGGTTGGCTGTTGTTACCCCCAAAAAGGAACATGAACTAGCTGTAAACCATCAGCATTCAATCAGCTCATCTAATCAAGGCTGTACCATCTTGTTCGCTTCGTGCTGTGATACGACAGCTCTCGTCATCATGGCCAAGAACGATACGAGCTATGTAGCTAGCTATACGATCAAGTCGAGTGGCTCTCATCAATCATTTCCCAGCCCCTACCATGCGGACATGAATTAGCTGTACACCATCAGCAATCAACCATACACACTACACCAGACTTCTCCGCTTTGTGTTCCTTTTGTCTCCCAGGTAGATGCATGGTGGACTCAACCCTAGCCCCTAGAACATGAACTAGCTGTACATTTTCCGCATCGAATCAAAACCGCTCCGGGACCTCCTCCACCTCGACGTTCATGCTGTTGACCTATAGCTGTTTGTGCGATAGAACAACCGCGAGGACATGAAACAGCTGTACAACATCAACATACAATCAAAACAAGACTCGAATACTTCATCCTCTTGCTCCGACCATCTTGCATATAGATGATTACACCGCATAGACGTCCCCTACAAGGACATGAACTAGCTGTACATCATTAGCAATCCACCTACACCACCCGGCACCTATAAGGCGTGGCAATTTCACTCTTATAGGATTTAGATATAATCTAGTTATACGATGACTAGCAGACTATACCCCAACCCCTACGGAAACGCCAACGCTTATATAAGCTCCTAGATACAGCAGGTCGGTACCACATTGCCGCTAGAGTAAGATTGCCAAGAAGGACATGAACTAGCCGTACACCGTCAACAATGAAGAAAATTGCACTGCCAAGCTACCTAAACTCGGCAAGAAATCGACAAAACAGCATACAGAAACTTCTCCAGCTCGTACATACTGCATTGCACACACGTAGACAGCCCAATCCGCATACATAGTCGCTACCAAGGACATTAGCTAGCTGTATACCTTCAGCAATCAAGAAAAACCCATCTACAATATCGTGACACTGCCCTGTCACACTGCTAAGAAAGATATAAGCTAGCGGTAGGAGGTCAACGACCAATCCACAAAATTCATTCCGCTTGTTGTTGCTGATCCAAGTCGTGCCTGAATTAGCGGTACGCAAGAAGCATTGAAGCATATCATGTCGTTCTTGTGTGAAGCACCCACGTGCACCTCGTCTAACACTTACATCACCACGAACACGTCAATGTAATCACCACACACTCAAAACCCAGAAGAGAAATCCTCTCAAGCATACCACATTCATCATTGATCGATTCATACATCCCCTACAACTTCGCCCTCCCTCTCTTCCTCTCTTCCTCCTCCTGATGCCGAACCTTCAACATCCTCCTCAAAATCTTCCCACTCACACTCTTCGGTATCGCATCCGTAAACCTAACCCCGCCTCTCAATTTCTTGTGATTAGCAACCTTCTTGCCCAACCAAGCCTCAATTTCCCGCGCCAATTCTGGACTCGGCGTGTTGCCGGATTTGGGCACAACATATGCCAAAGGAACTTCAGTGGCCAGATCCTCTCGATATACGCCGAGGACAGCCACGTCGTCGATTTTGGGATGCGCGACGAGGTAGCCTTCCAGCTCGGCGGGAGGGACTTGGAAGCCTTTGTATTTGATGAGTTCTTTGACGCGGTCGGTGATGTAGAAATTTCCGTGCGAATCTTGGTACCCAACGTCGCCGGTCTTGAAATAACCATCGTGTGTGAGGGCGTTTTTGGTTCCTTCGGGGTTGTTGAGGTAGCCCATGAAGATGTTGGGTCCTTTGAGCCAGAGTTCGCCTACTTCACCTTGCGGGAGTTCTTTCTCTTCTGGTGACATATATTTGGCCGTAAGGTTGGGAAGGAGCTTGCCGACCGAGCCCATCGATGACTGCCAATCCTCCCATGGCTGCAGATGTGTGGTTGGTGATGTTTCGCTGAGGCCATAGCCTTGCTTGATGGGCACTTTGATGCGAGCGTACACGGCGTCCACCAGCTCCTTCGTGAGCGGTGCTGCACCAGAATTGAGTATGCGCAAACTGCTGAGATTGTACTTGTCCACTACCGGATGCTTTGCAAGGAGCAGCACGACTGGCGGGACGACGTATGACATTGTGATTTTGTGACTTTGCACGATCTGACACCACGCCTCGAGATCGAACTTCGGTAGCACAACGCATTTGAGACCTCGGTATAGGCAATGATGGATGATGCAGGTAAGTCCGTAGATATGGAAGAAGGGCAAGAAGGCGAGAATCGCATCTCCTTCTGGCGCTTCCTTGTGAGGCTTCCACGAAAGCCTGTGCTCTCCTGCGGTATTCTGCATCACGTTGGCAACAATATTCCGATGGCAGAGCATGACACCTTTGGGCAGACCGGTGGTTCCAGAACTGTACACAAGAAAAGCAAGGTCCTTCTCCGGATTCACCTTGGCTCTTCTGAATCGTTGCGTGCCAGAGATGTTTCGCACGGATGTGAAGTGCTTGACCCTGCCATTGGGGTCCCGCTCGTCTCCGATCAAAGCGATGCGATCTTCTGGTATGCCGACCTTCTTCGCGGCCTCAACGGCAAGTGGCAGTTGAGGTAGTTGCGTGATGATTGCTCTTGCCCCACTATCCTTCAACTGGTATGCAAGCTCTTCAACAGTGTAGCCTGGATTTGCAGGCGACACAATCCCACCCGCCCAATGCGTGCCCCATGTGATCGCTGGCGTATCTATGCAGTTCGGCGTGTATAGCGCGAGGACATCGCCCTTCTGCCAATCCCAGAGACCTTTCAGACCTTTCCCGAACTCGATGGCGGTGTTCTTGACTTGGGCGTATGTATATGATCGGTCGGTGGCTGGGTCAACGTAGATGACTGCGCATTAAGTCAGCAAGGTCTTCTACCTGCATGCTGGCATCGATATCATGCGCCTTTGTCATCCGGAAAGTCTCTGTCCTTCCTCTCGAACAGGAAGTCCCAAAGGCCGACGTTCGGTATCTTGAGTTCGGGATACGGCGATTGCGAAGGCATTGTCGCTGTTCTCGTCAATGGGAGCTAGACTTGAAGTGGAAGCCGGCAATGTCGACAGCGAATTTCAGCATAGATGCTAGATGCTACATCCTTCGCAACTCTGGACGAGAAGGCACAATGATCTTTGTCACGCACGCAGGCTCACTCCGACTCGCCGAGGCATCTGCTAAGGTATGCAGTTCTACTCCGAAGCACGCTAATCGGTCGCTGCCCGTGCGTCTTTTGAGTGGCTTCTTCGGCGGCGGACATCGGCATTGGCGTGCTTCATCAGACGACACGCGAAGATGTGCAGTGTTGTGATGTGGGAGGACGGCGATGAGTTCGGAAATGCAGTGCCTCCTGTGACATACGAGTGAAAGCGTGCTCTGCTCTCGCTCTTGGATGATCAGGCATTCTCGGCAAGGCGCTTTCGGCATGCCGCAACGCTAGCAAGGATCTCGATAACTCTATCCGACGTCCTCTTACACCGTCTCCCACTCCTCTTCCATTTCGGCCTCATAATCACGTAGCCTCCTCTTCCTCTCAATACCTGTATCTGGCGACAGTGACGCCGTCATCCTTTCCCAAACTGGACTATCACTCCCAATTCCCCTGAACTCGCGGCTGGAAGGCAACGAAGGACTTCTCCGCGGATCAGCATCCTGCACAATCGCCGCACGAACACGATTCAGCCCTCTCCTCTTCCTTCCCTGTCCAGACTCAGAAGAATGTATAATATCCTCCTCCTCCTCAAGCCCACCACCAGTCGGTATCTCGTCAAGACCACGTTCAGGAGTCTGAGGGACTGACATGCCGAGATCAACGAGAGCCAGATATGGTGCTCTCTCGACCCGACACTGTGGCAGTATCTAGTTGTGGCGTATGTGATGGCCGCGGCCAGAAATTATTCATGAAGCCACGAAGCCTGTCCATGACTTCGATCTTGTACTATATGCATTCGTGGTAAGTCAACGAAGGATATTGCTCGTGTTGTTGGCTGCCCTGAGCGAGCTTTCAAGCTTTACTGGTCAGCATCGCTTTGTTAAAATGTCGAGCATACAAAGAGGACTGCGTCCCCCGGAAAAGGATAGCACGTACAAAGACTCGATTTGCTAAGATTCGTTCCATAAGCTGAGAAAGCCACTGACTTACCTCGTCTGTCACTGGTTGCCGCACGCTGACTGTACGGGATCAAAATGTCCGGCAGACGTGTTGCAAAATCAAGAAACGTATTCCATGGTTATATCGAGTCGCTTGTTAAATGCTGCGAGGTCTCAGGTGACGTGCAGCAAGTGAATGACTGCTGAGTCCTTCCCGAAAAGGCAAGAGTGACTAGGCCGCTTCATGTTACAAACGGCATGTAGCCAATAGCAGCTCTCGAGCCTTTGACGAGGCCCGCTGCGCGCCAGATCATTCATTCGTCGCATTTCGACAGTCGTAAGTCCGTTCATTCACCTCAGCGCACGCTCAATCCTACCTGGAGAACGTGATAACGCGTTCTTCTTCAAGCCAAGTCAAGCCCTTAGTCCTGCTGGACAACGCTTGAGATACAAAATGCCGCCATCGAACGGTCGAGGCGAGCTCCTGTACAACGAGAAAAAAGAGCTGGAGCGTCTGGAAGAGATGCGTGCGCAACTAAAAGATCGAATGGTAAAGCTGGAGCTTTGGGATGTCGGCGAGGAGAGCGATTCGCGCTTGGAAGCATTGGTCGAGCAGATTGCGTCCATGCCTCTCAACTTGCTATACCACCCTAAAGTGATGAGGGATTTGAATGAGCGAACTATGAGGATCCCAGCGACTGCCCAAAACCGCCAAAAGCAGTCAGTTAGCTTTACGAACGGATTATCTGTAGTCGCGCACCTTCAAACCGAGCGCAACTATCTGCCTCTCGATCGCGCTCGCACAAGCGATGCCAAGACCGCCGACTCGACCGGCAGATCGAAGCCTCCAATTCAGATCGGAAATAATGAGGATCAGACCCAGGTGGAAGAAGCCGAGAATTCGTTCAAATGAACGCTGAGTGTCGACGTATCAAGCATTCAAGGAGCCAAGGGACGGACACTATATACGTCGAAGCGAGCGGTGAGCTTTCACCATGTTGCTTGGGAAGCGCAGGGTGGCAGAAAGCTGTATTATGTTGGCCGCCGCATGAGTTATCGCAGTGTGATAGTTGCAGCAATGGATGATGGTGAAGCGGAGCGGGAGTTGATTACAGCAGCAAGAAGACAAGGGTCCGAAAGCGAAAGCGAAAGCGACGATCATGCCTCTACCACACGCGTAGAGTAGTTCTAGCTTGACGCGTCCTTCGCGGTGCCGGACCAATGCTTCACTCGGACTGACTGGTATTTTGCCTCATATACTGAGCCATAGTTTGTCTAACATCGTATCCTCGTATTCTCCCCAAAATGGCCGTCGACAACGCCAGCGACGATGCTCTTCTATCAAAACCAAGCGACAAGACGACGCAATACGAGTGCCACGAGCGCAGCAATGCCATCTACAACCCTCTATCGACCTTTACACTTCCGCGCAACGAAGCCAAACAATACCAACAGCAATATGCCGACATGTACTTTACGCGCCTCGCCCAGCTCAAACCCGCCGTGGAATCAATAGCCTCGGAAGCATTCAGCGACTTCCACATTGGCGGAGAACAGGCGAGGAAAGTGGACAGAGTGCTAGATGTGCGGCAAGGGCACCTCTGCTGGGTCATTGGTACGGTCTTCGTCGAGATGCCGCTAAAGCCAAATGTGCTGGAGGACATTGGGAAGGAGCATTGGATCGCTGCCCCGCCTGCAAGGCAAAAATACAACCCTGGGGAAGGCAATGTCTCCATGATGCTGGAGGATGAGAGTGGTCGGCTGAAGCTGACTGGCGGCTTCCTGGCGAGCGTATTGTTGGTGACAGGTGCCATTGTGGCTGTATTGGGCACGGAGAACTCGGACGGCGATTTTGAGGTTCTGGATATAAGAGTCCCGGACCTGCCACGTCAACCGCAGAGATGGGAGAGAGACGATGGAGATGCTGCACTGAAAGGCAAGAAGGCCAGCCAGAAGCGAGAGTCTGGTGGAAAAGTGGCGATAGTGTCTGGCTTGTCAATCAGTGGTGATGACGGAGACACGCTTATGCTGGATATGCTTGCCGAGTACTTGCTTGGTGAAGCAGGGGGACTGGATGAACAATCAGCAGCATCACAAATATCACGACTCATTATTGCTGGAAACACACTTGCTCATGGCCAGCCCATACCCTCGCGGGAGGAAGTCGCAGCAGCAAAGAAATCTGGAAAGCGTACGTACGGCTACGATGCATCAGCGTATAATGCAAATCCAACGGAGAGATTGGATTCATACATGGCATCGCTACTGCCGTCAATACCAATCACGCTCCTGCCGGGCCTTACAGATCCGACTTCGACAGCATTACCTCAGCAGCCCATTCATCCTGCCATGTTCACCCGGTGTAGAGCGTACATGGCCGCACCGCTCGCCACCGAGACAGACTCTCCATGGTTCGACTCCACCACGAATCCTGCTGAGTTCGACCTTCAAGGCTGGAGATTTCTGGGCGCAGGCGGTCAAACGGTGGAGGATGTCTACAAGTACGTCGACGGAGAGGAGAGATTAGAGATGATGGAAGCGATGTTGAGATGGCGCTTGTCTGCTCCGACCGCTCCCGACACTCTCTGGTGCTTCCCATTCCAGGATGGAGACAAATTCGTGATCCAAGAATGTCCGCACGTCTACTTTGCTGGGTGTCAGCCCAATTTCGAGAGCAGCACCATTGAAGGACCGCATGGCCAGCTGGTGAAGCTCATCGCAGTGCCTAGCTTCAAGGAAACTGGGCAAGTGGTGCTCATGGATCTAGAAGAGCTCAGCGTTGAAGTGGTCACTTTTGAGGCCTTCGAAGGATGACGTTCCACAGAATGCCGGGAAGCGATTGCATTTTTACGACAATGACCAATGATATGGGAATCTGTGTTTAGCATGGCGTCGAGGAGCCGGGTTGTCGTTGTCGTTGTGGTACCTGCGACATCTTAGAGAGAAGTGATTTCGCCATCTCCATATTCAAGAACTTGAAGATTCAGCGCTTTTAATTGCTTTTTGACGTCAATTCGCATATGGACGCCGACGCCGACGCCGACGCCGACGACCCTTGCAGGCAGCAACCACCAGGCAAGTGGGGCATTCCAAAACAAGTCGACGCGTAGCGCGTTTTCTGGCTTGAGATAAAAGACGTGCAGGTGTCCGAGATCTTGAATGCGCCCTCACCCTCGCCCTCACCCTCACCCTCACCCTCACCCTCACCCTCACCCTCACCCTCACCCTCGCCTCCGCCCTCACCCAGTGTCCACTATGGCGCTACGTTCAAAGGACGACTTCCTGGCACAACTCCAACCTGCCTGCGGCGCGGAAATCGCCATCGCGCCGGACCAACAGTGTCCCGTGTGCCACGAGCCGATCGTCGAGCCGACTTCGACCTCATGTGGCCATGTCTTCTGCTTCAAATGTTTGAAGCAGTGGCTGGCGACGTCGCATACCTGTCAGTTCATCTGCGAGCAACGTCGCCGGAACACGGGAGCTGACTTGCTGCAATCCAGGTCCATCATGTCGCCACGAGCTTTACCAGAAACCAGGGGCGGACGGAGAAGAAAATGAGTCGGAGCATGCCCTGCCAACTCTTGTTGACCGCATGCTGGCACGCGTCGTTTTCGATTTCCCATACGACGGAGCTGCCGTCCGCGACATCATCGACAGAAGCCCTGATCACGTCTGCATTGCCCATGCAATGCTCGTCTGCTCACTGCTTTCCCAAAACTCATTCGTCAATTACGACACCCTCCTCGCTGCTGCTGTTGCTGCTATCCTGACAACCTTGCGCCAACCAGGCATCCTCACCGTGGCGGTATCAGATCCCGAAATTCGAGAGGGCTGGAAGAGCATAGCGTCTGCAATCGAATCGGTACTCTCACGACTCAGTCAGCAGACCCTTCCTGGCTCGCATCTTTTTCTAGCAATGGAGAAAGAAGTCCAACGCGTACTGCGAGCCCCAAACAACGAGTCGCTGTTTGCGAGACGAGGGTCGTCGTCGCCGAATGACACTCTCCCCTACGCCTGGCTTGAGCTTAGCTTCACTGCGGTGCTGCGACAAGTGGTTCAGGCAAGCTATCAGGCAAATGCCGAGCAAGTTGCGCCCCCACAATACCGGCAGCCGGAAGAATTGTCTGCTTTCACTGCTCCACCTTATATGGTACATCCACAAGACCTTTTAAGGGCCATTCGGTCTTTACGGCCGCAAATGGACTGGATGGAAAGGGTGCGGCCCTCTATGACAGGTGATGAGCAAGTCTACGTCAGCCAAACACTACTCATGCCCCCACTATTGGCGTCGTTCAAATGCATGGGTGCAGCCCTGAGCGACAGTTTCTGTCAAGGCACCACCAATCTGCCACTTGGGCGTAGATACAAAATCGCCCTTGAGATCTTACAACAAAGCGCCGCCAAGACCCTCTTGAAGCTCAACGGAGAGACCGTGAGATGCGGGGACTTATACGAGTCAATTGGAAACAAGTTCTCGCTATCTCTTGGTGACTGGCCAGAGCAAGATCGAAATGAGGCTGGATTTGAGGAAGATTTGCCGAAAATCTTGGCTGAGTTCAAGGAGGGCGAGCTGCTGCTGCTTCTCATGCCCTGCTACCTGGTCGGCATCAGACTTCACGATGAGACACAGCTCCCACGTGTCAACGCCGCACCAAACGGCAACGCACCGGCCACCACTGCAGAGTCGAATGGCCCATAAGCTGTGCGACCCTTTTTGTAGTAACACACCTGGTCTATCCAAAGAAGAGAGAAGAAGAAGGGGCCACACCAGAGGCAAAGCGACCGAGAGATTCAGCCAGAAATAGAACAGTCTCATCACCACGACCTCGCAATCGCGTCATCAAGGAGCTCCTGGCAAGGAGAGCTTCCGCTGCTGCAAAAATCGCGCAAGGCACTCAGCCCAGAACTGGACGCGATCGGAGAAGAACGTAGGAACGATCTCAGATACAACGCGCATGAAAATGAATTCGAACTTACTCAGTCCAACGAAGTAGTAAATGCAAATCACCTCACAACTCCAATTACGTGGAGAGCAATAGCAAATGTCATGCGACCCTGTCACCAACTTCCTGTCTCACCCGTTCTGCCCTGAAAGCCTTCCTCGGCGTGTAATAACAGGATTGAACTAGAATATCCAAGTATTGGGGTATTGAGTCGCAATCTACTACCTTTACACACAGAAATTCAACGCGGCGTTGAAGCGTAAGAGTCGACGCCCTCGAACTCGACAGGAATGATAGAGATCAAACGTGAGCAGTGGAAAAGAATCGGAATTTTCTCTTCTCGGTCAGCCCCGATAATCATCATCGCAAAACCTGTCTCTCGGAATTCCAATTTTCATCGCACGATCAAGAGTGTCAAGAGAGAGCAAACATGAATAGAAAATTAAAGTCATATTCCATCACCAGGTATAACACCTCAACAGCAACTACCTACACTACACCCCAGGCACCAATTCCCCATCCTTCCCATCAAACATTACTCCACCAAGCTCTACCAAACCAAGCCATGTCGAATCACAGGTATTATTACAGTGACCTAAGCACCAAGCTCAGGGACCTTCATTCTCAATTCGTCATCATTATTCCTATCATTCTGTTCGCCGCATAATGACAACAGAGTGTTGTACTCCTCGCAACCAACGCCATGAATCTTGCAGGAAGTACAAGCTGCCGCCGCTGCGTGGCACCTGGCCTCCACTGCGAGGTAGGCGCAGGACGGCTCCGTGTAATCACTGTCATGAGGTCGCTCAGTCGCTACGGTCGAGCTGGGAGGTACATCGATTCCCAGAGGCCTGTCACTACCAGTCGGCGAGCCGATATCCTGTCGCTCCGCAATTGTCGACAGACCTGCAAACATCATCGTCAAATCGGTATTGCCTTCTCCAGACTTGTTGCATTTGGTGAGAAGAGCCTTGAATTCCTCGCACCCGTTACCACTCAACTTGCACTCAAAACAAGCTCCTGTAGCCTCGTAACAATGGAGACTTGCGAGCCAGTCGCATGGCCAGTTTTCGAACTTGGGTTCGGCGGGCTCTCGAGTTGAGGTTGCTGGGCTGGGAATGGGATCGATAGTCGAAGACGAGTTGTAATTCGCAGGGTTGGAAGAGCTGCATTCAGTGCCGGCCTCCTGTCGCTCCATAAGCGTCGGCATTCCCGTGACAGTGCTGAGTGAGGAGGCCGAAGTTGGATAGACGGACACAGCTGTCTCCTCTGGTGCTGGTGGCAGTTTAGGTATGCTGCGAATCAGTGGCAAATTCACCACCGTGCATTCAGACTCTGTCAGGCCAGGACAGGTGCGGTTGTCTGCACACAACTGGTCGTAAAGCTTCAGACAGGCATTCTTGATCTCGGTCAAGGACCGAGCCTCCGACATCACACGTTCGCAAACCTGACATTCACTCTCCGATACGTCCGAACATCCACTCGCGAGCTCACCGCAGACTGAGCTAGTAGTGAAGTTTTGGAGCATGTCTCTCAGCTTCACATCGGTGATTACCTCCTTCTCTCGCAGGGGCTGTGGCTGATCGGCGGAGGCATGTTCACCAGTCGCAGTCGCGTCGCTACATCCACTGCGACGAAACTGCTGGAAGAACTCCACACAGTCTCTGTCGTATTTGTCTGTTATCTTTGGGCTGTTCGGATACTTCAGGTATTTTTCAAAAGCTCTCCCACATTTCCTGCAGTCGTGTCCATCAATGTGGTAGCAGTGCTTCTTGAGTTGTTTGCATCTGGGGTTGTCTGGAACAGGTGTGATTGGATCGTGGAGGAGGTCCTCAGAGTCTGGTTCATCGAGCACATTCCTTGGTTCTGGCGAGGCCACAAGGTCAGCGGCGCTGAGTCCTGGTAGGAGAGTGCAGTAATCGGCCTTGACGCAGCCGGAGTTGCAAAGTTGGTGCTCGTACTTGAGGCACTTTCTGCGGAACCTCTGATCTTTCCAGTAGTCATGAGGATCCTTCAAATGGGTCTGCATCGCTTTCATGCAGTCTTTGCAAAGACCCTGGTGTACTTTGGGACATCTCAAAACCTGGTCGCACTTGGGATGAGGATAGGGGTTCTGAAGATGCGATAAAAGACTCCTGGGGGTCATGCTACCCTCTTCTTCGCTATGCCCTGAGCGCTGTGGCATGGTCGCGATGCTAGACCCATCCAAGGATGTCCCGATCTGACATTTCTCATCTGTAAGACATCCGTTTGTGCAAAGTTGCTTTTTGAACTTGCTGCACTTCTTGATTACTTTGCGAAACTTCTCGTCGTCTTCAGGATGTTCTTGCAGGGCCTCGAGTGCATGCTGACAGCTTTTACAATCGTGCTTGTGCGCTTTAGGGCATCGCTGTTCGTATGCTTCACAGGAAGTGTCGAACATCTGCTTGAAGGCTGACCAGTGACCTGAGCCGATGCTATTGGATGACTCCTGAGCCGTATGTAGGCCGAGCGACTTGAACATCGGGGTCATGCAGTTGCACTTCTGAAGTCGTTCGTAGAAGTCGAGGCATTTCGGACTGAAGAGGCCGGGAGAGGTTTTGCATGCTTCGCAAGTATCTGTCGCTACGCATGGACAATCTCGTTCGACAACGGGACAAGGGATGTCCCCAGCGGGGCTGCCCTGACCTTCTCCTGGCTGTGCGAACTCTTGGACATGGGAGTTCGTAGCTGGATCGGAGTCTGATGAAGACTCTGGAGCATCGACATGGCCGCCGACAATTGAATCTACTCCAAGCCCAGTCAGGTGAGGCGTAGGGCCTTTTCTGACAGTGACAATGTTCTCCTTATCGGTGAAGAAGCTTGGCTGCGCAATCGAGATGGTGTGTTCGTCCAGGTTGTGGAATGTGTACGCACTGCGTAGCAGAGGGTCTCCAAGAGTGAGAATTGATCCGGATGAGGGAACTAGACTGAGTTGGCACACAGCCCTTCCATCTTTCATGAGTGGAGTAGTGGACCAGCTCTGGTTGTAGATGTCGCCATTGTCGTGTATCGGAGTCAGCATCTCACGGAACGGCACCTCGATAGTGGTTGACCCGTTTCGAGCATCCTTGAGACCAATGGAAAGACCCAATGTGGTGTTGGCCTGGTCGCAATAGTATATGGGCGGAAGATATGCATCCGCTCGAGCACGGTCTGGTATCTGTTCGATGAATTGCTTGTAAACATTGCTAGGCACGTACATCCCAGCTGCGCCTGTGTCCAGCGTTGCCGGAAAGGAAGAGCGAGCCAATGGCAACTCCTTCGATGTGTCATTTGTGACCAGCGTTGCAGATGTCAGGTACAGCGTTTGGAAGTGGTAGTCATTCCCGCGCGGCTTTACAGTGTTCATAGTGACAAGGTCGCCATAGAATTTGGCGGTATCGACCGCACCGAAGAGGATATTTCCTTTCTGCTCGACAATGTCGTCCAAGTAGATCGAATAAGAGCGCGAGCCAATGACACCGGAATCGTGCATTCGGTCAATCACCGTGGGAATCACGGCGCAAGTGCTCGGTTGCTCCGAGTTCGTACAATTGTATTCCCGCGCGGAGCTGTAGGAGATTCCCATGATGCCGAACTGTGGTCCGTCCGGAATACTCGGGGAGATCTGGACAGTACTCGCGAGACCGAAGGTGAAGTTGGTCAGCGAGACATCGCCCAGGCCAACCATATCTGCGGCATATACCCCTTGCTCTAGAGATCCGTCCATATAGGCTATCTTGAATGGAAGTGCATTTTCGGCGGCTGAAAAGGTTGTAGAGGCATTGGAGGTGAACTGGCCGCCAGCACATGTGTCATTGCGACATGCTGAAGAGGCTGCATCGGGAACCCAAAGGAGGTCGCTCCCTGTGTCGAGCAGAACTTTGAAAGGTTGCGGTGGGGATCCTATTCACAGCGTCAGTGCCGTGGGCAAGAGCCGGCCGCCATCCTTTGGCCACGTACCGATCTCGATGTCAACAAAGTAGCTTCCACCAGCAGGAATCCATTGCGCCTTCGGATCAAAGGACAAACTTGGCGCTCGACTGACAGCACACTTGTGGTATCCCGGTGGCTCCGCTGCCGTGGATCGAGGCACTTTGGGAAGCTCGCCCTGCGAATGCTCATGTCTCGATCCACGGTAGACTATGCTGGCCGCCTAAGCCGAAAGGAGGGCATAGCCCAGCATAGTGGCGGGTGTCGACGCTGAGAAACAATGTGTATTGGGTGCTGGGGATGCTGAAACAAGCTGTATGTGTGATATCCGATGTTGGTGCTGAAGGGGTCAGAGGATCGATGGCGGTGAGTAAACATTGCCATTGCGAGGCTGAGATCTGACCCTGAGGAGTGGACGTGCCCTCCATAGCGAAGGACTCGGAAGCTGCGCTGTGCTGAATTAGCAGGGGCTGAGCGGATCAGGGAGGTACAGTCTTGCCTTGCTGAATACGTGGAAGCAGGAGTCTTCCAAGGTTTCATTTGTGTCTCCTAATGATTACATTAGCTTGTGCTTTGCTCTGTCAAGCAGTGTTGCCAGCATCCCTCCCAAGCGTCATTTCAGCGGATCGATCAAGCTTCATATGCTTTCGCAGCTGCCTACGAGGTCTGATACCAATGTAATATTTCATGCCTTCTCCCATCATAGCGTTGAATATGTGAATGAAGACGTGCTTGCCCTGAACATAATTCGTTTGCATTGAACCGCCATTCCTGCATCCTCTCCTCCAGATGCCCTCCCTTACGTCCTGAACCTTCCTCCTGGAAACGTAAATCTTGAGTGTGCCTTTGCTGGGCGATCATCCTCACTGCCCCGTCCGATCGAGACATCTTCCCGCTTCTTTCAGCTTCTTGATGGCATACTCTGCGTTTTCCGCCAGATTTGCGCCAGCCTCTCGATCAAAGTCCTCCACCCCATCCTCTTTGACACTAAAGTAGTGGTTGAAGTCTCCCATGACCATGGTCACAAAGCGATCCCATTCTCTCTGCATGTAGAGGACCTGAACCCCCAGCTTGCCCTCGAACTCTTCCTTGATGACCTTTTTCAGGGCAGGCAGAAAGCCTTGTAAGCCTGCCTCCACTTCTTGCCCATTTGCGGGAACCTGGTCATGCAAGGTGCGCATGAGAATACTGGCTCTCTCGTGATGTGCCTTCCTAGCTCGGGCCGCCTCTCCTCTTCGAGGTCTTGCTGGGTCGGGTGGCTTCTGCGCCTCGAGCTTGCCGGCCGCTTCGTATGCCGGTCGCAGAGTTCGGGCGACAAAGGAGTCCGTGGTCGTATTCCTAATAAGGAAACGTTCCACACTTCGAATTTGCTCCTCTACTTTGTCGAACCTCCTGCCATTCTTGGACTGAAGTCTGACTAATCTCTCCTCAAGCTTGGCGAGGAAGCGTTGCTTATTGCTGCTACCTGTATCATCCTCTAGGCCCTCCATTTCACCAATAGAACGACGTAATGTCTCGGAAACCTGCAAGCTCGTGAGCTTTAGCTCCTCCCGATGCTGAGTCAGGTCTTTGAGAGTTTTGAGGGTGGCAGATTCGATTCCGGGAGTCATGATTTCTTGAATTTGTGGTGTCCAAGGTTTGTTTGCAGTAGCCGCATTCCGGCTTGCGTTACGCGTAGTCGGACCAGTCGGAGTTGGAGGTTGATAATTGCCATATCTCCTACAAGTTGCACGAAAGACTGCTGAGTGCTTGGAAGTGTCATCATCTCTCCAGGCGATAACGCGGCGCTCGGCTTTCTTTCGCCATAGATCGATGTCACGATCTACAGCTGCGACGACGTGATGGTGCAGGTTGAGAATTTGCGTGTACGCGGGAGCCACACGTTTACCTGCGGCGCCTAGCGCATTGCTGACTTTGCCACGGAGTTCAGCTTGCCTTGTGCGCGGCGTCTTGCTCACCAGCCTAATCAGCTTTCTCAGGAAGAAAGGTAGATCGGCGAGCAGATCTTGCAGGACTTCAAGCTTAGGCTGACCGACTCGTTGGTAAAGCGCGTTCGCAAGGGCAGGAAGTCCTGTGTCTTGCATGCTCACCCGTGGAACTTGATCATCGATAGGTACGCGATGCTCCCTGGCTTCAAGCGTAGAGACGAAGAAGCACGGAGGAGGAGTCTTGGTACCAAGAATCTTCGTGGCCCATGGTAACACAACCCGACGCACTTTCTCGTTCCTAATTTCTCTCTCAATGACGATTCTCTGTGATCTCAGAGAAGACCGCTGGGCGTCAGAGAGAACGGCAGTCCCTTTCCTAGCCTTTGAAAGCTTCTCATCGATGGCCAGCAGTCGCTTCTTGTCATCATCGGAGAGACCCTCTTCATGTTCGACATCCTCTGGAGCGATACGGTCCGCCGTATCAGCATGAGTGAATACGAGTACGACTTCCTTGTCGGCATTAATGGCCTGTTGAAAGTAAGGCAAGAGAGACTCGAGCCGATCTTCGGGGCGGAATGGCTTGAGGACTATAAGGAGGAGATCGCTTTGCCGAAGAAACTCTTCCGTAAGCTTTCTGACATTCTCGTCGGCATCGCTAACACCCGGAGTATCCGCGATAATCAGGGCATTCATCGGGAGATCGAATTTGGTTGAGTGAACTCCAATAGCACGAAGCAACTTCGAAGGATGACTGCTCTTCAAAGGGTTGGGAATAAAGGAAGACTCTTTGATCCGTTGCTGCATCTCAATGGAAGTCTTCGCAGGGGTATAGCTGGCCGCTTTCTGGGTAAGCAGTTGCTTTATCCGCGGCATCACTTCCTCTAGGACTTCCTCGACAGGAGTGCCCGCCTTTGCCTGAAGCCACGCCTCTGTGCTGTCGAGGTTGTTAAAGTGAGGATGCTCGGGTTCGCAGAGAAGGGAGTATAGCGCCGAGACACTTCGCTGCACATCAGGCTCCTGAAAGCGATGGCCCGCCTCTTGCTCTGCAGCTGCAGCCTCGTCCTTTTCCTCGCTTGTGCTTGGACTCGCCACCATATGCGAGTAGAATGTCATAGCTGTATCGAGCATTTCTCGCACGAGAGATTGCCATTGCTCCTCCGTAGAATACTCAAAAGTAGCGAGGTACGGGAATTTCTGATCCGGCAGAGCTTTGTCGTACTTGATGGGGTGATTGGTCCCTCGCGATGTGTCGCTCTTGATGACTGCACGGGAGTCCTGCAGCAGTTCACCACACAGACTCGACTTGCCTGCCGATGCTTCTCCTAGAAGGGCGGCAATGATCGAAGGCGGGTACTTCAGAGCTGGGTCGCTCTTGTCAATGATCTCTTGCACCACCTCGTCAACATTGGCGTGATGCGCAAAGATGTCTTTGTGTCGTGCAAAAGCCTCCAGTAAAGCTGCACGAGCCTCTTTGATCAGATCCTCTGCTTGCTTCCTCTTGGGGTGGTAGAAGCCATTCTGGGGCCTCAAGGGGTGAGTAGTCTCTGGCGGAGCTGAAGGTGCGACTACGTTCAATGTGTCCTTCCGCGGCTTGAGGTCGGAATCTGGGGCACCAGGCTTTGCGCGTTTCATTTCTTTGCCAGTGGGCGATGGTGTACATCGTCGCTTATTCTTAGTACATGCTGGAGATGGCTGAGCATGGCGAACTTCTTGAGCAGTTGTCAACCTCCTGTCCGATTCAGGACGTGCCAGATCGCGATGGTGAGATGGGCGATCTGTCCTCATATTTGGATGACTTGGGCGATTGTAGTGATCTCTCGGCAAGGGTTGGTAGGATCCATAGGATGGTCGGTAAGAACTGCTTCGCCGTCGCAGCTCGGGGTGCTGCATCCAGCATTCGCCATTGGTGTGACCTCGGTGTAGCTGGCCATATCTTCCTCTTTCTGTACACGGGGCATTCGGATCGTTGCGGGTTGATGCTGAGCGAGGGCCATGGGGCGGATTGAAGTCGGGCGCCATCTCCACCCGTGTCGGGCTATCAAGGCGACGGCGCTTGTATCGCGGCGAGGTGTCCGCTGACGTTCGGGGCAAGAAACTGGAGGGAGGAAGCTGCCAGGAAAGGGTGTGTGGAGAGGGGTTCTTGATGCAGAGATGGCGCTGGTCGAATGAAGGCCGGCTGGATATTCTTGCAGAGCTGATGGCAGCCTCGCGAAAGCAATGTTGCTCAGAAGGAGGAATGATGGCAAAGAAATGGCCGTGGGCTGAGTCATGCAGGAATGTCTCAGATGTATGTGAGCACCCGGTCTGAACGGCGGGCCCGCGATAGCACGCAGATACTGGCAGAAAGTCAAGGTTGACAGCTTGCAGAAAGTGGGTTCTGGAAGACGCGCGCTCCAATCGGAGGGATTCAAGTGGCACGCAAGGTCCACAAGCGCGATTGTTGATGCATGTGAAGGCTTGGCAGTGAAAGATCTGCTCATGTCGCACAGTGGTGACCTTTCGCACCGGCAGGCAATGGCTCTGCGGGCTTCTGGAAGCGTCCTGGATCCAGAGGGTCTCGATCAGCGATATTGCAGAGAAGCGCATACTGAAATGCCAGGCAGTTGACTTCTGTGCGGTTCACAGGGCCACCTACCATCCATGCACATCGAACGTCAGGTCCTCACGTCGACGGCAGATCTGACAATTCGTCATCATAACTTCAATTGCAGTAGCGGCCAGCGATGGGATTTGCGGAAGAGATCACCAGAACGCGATAGACACTGCCCGGATTCGGCCAGGGCCCTGAGAGAATAACATGTGTGGTCCTTGCGGTGTACATCAGCATAGATGTACATGGTATCCCATAGCGCTTCTGTGAAACACTCCCATCTATTGCGCCATCGCTATGCAACCCACAAATCCATACAAAAAACTTTTCACCCTCTCCTCTCCACGCGATTCAGCTTTCTGGCTGTCATGATCTATATCAAAGCGATCAGTCCATAATCCATAGCATCGCATGGCAGACATATGCTTACCTGGGTCCTCGTCCTCTGTCCCCGCACCGGCAAGCCCATGGCATGCCGTCTCCCTCTGTATGCGCCCATGTCTCGTAATCGCTTGATGTTGTCCTGCAATTGCCGCCGCAGATCGTTCTCCAATGTCATCGTACTCAGCTCTCCTGCCAGATCGTTCACTTGTCTGTCCTTCAACGAGCCGACCTTTGCAGTCTTGTGGATGTGAAAGCGTGCCATCAGCCTCTCGCAGACTTTTGGGCCAATGCCATAGAAGGATTGTAAGGAGCGCGCTACGAGAGCGGACTCTCGAAAGTTGACGCCGAAGATGAACACCTGAGCCTCGTCAGTGAAGATTATGGTATGGTAGAAGATTGGTATATACCATGATGACGGCCTGACCGATGAAAGGAGCGTGAAAATGGTCAATGGCGCAGACACACTCACTACGGGCGACGTGAATAGAATGCTGCAAGGATAGGATTCGCAGAGCCGCATCGATGCAATCTTCCCCGCGGTATCGGCATGGCATCAGTTGGCTTGGCAGGGACCAGCTGTACTCAATCGCCAACCACCCACGATACACGATCCCACTCCAGACACTCCTCTTTTGCCATCTTACCATTCAACCAGATGGCGAATTTCCAGAAGCTGATAGCCACCTTCTTGGTGGTCCTCACTTTCGCCTTCGTCTACTTCGCTCAGACCGTCGAGGCGACAAAAGGGCCCAAGATCACCCACAAGGTCTACTTCGATATCAAGCATGGCGACGAGGATCTTGGACGCATTGTGATGGGTCTGTATGGCAAGACTGTGCCAAAGGTATGATCAGGACATTGAACAGGAACGAGAAAGCGGGACTGAAGCTGAACATGGCTGCAGACGGCTGAGAACTTCCGAGCTCTCGCTACCGGAGAGAAGGGCTTCGGATACGAGGGCTCCATCTTCCACCGTGTCATCAAGGATTTCATGATCCAGGTGTGATGGATTGACACTCTCAAAGCTGTGCCACTGTGTGCTGACTATCTTTAGGGCGGCGACTTCACCCGCGGCGATGGCACTGGCGGCAAGAGCATCTACGGCGAGAAGTTCGACGATGAGAACTTCAAGCTGAAGCACAGCAAGAAGGGTCTTCTCAGTGCGTACAGATGACATCCTGACCACGTACGACTCGTCACTGACTTCTTCCAGGCATGGCCAACTCCGGCAAGAACACCAACGGCTCGCAATTCTTCATCACCACCGTCATCACCTCCTGGCTCGATGGCCGCCACGTCGTCTTCGGTGAAGTCCTCGAGGGCATGGACATTGTCCACAAGATTGAGAATGCTCCCAAGTCGGCGGGAGACAAACCAAAAGACGACATCAAGGTCGCCAAGAGCGGCGAGCTTGAAGTGCCAGAAGAAGGTTTGCGGGCGGAGCTATAAGCCAGTGCGTCCGCCACTACAATAACCCGGTCGGCGTACTGGGTTGCAGAAGTTCATGCTGATGGATGACACAGGTTACGCAGGAACCGCAGAGGCTGCTGAGCCTTTGAGTCCGGGGGAGACGTTCGATTCGGACGACGTGTTCGCCGGGGCCAAGGCTTCGCTTAAGGAGCAGGTCACCTCGCACATCAACGTGGAGAAGGTTACCGCTGGTGCGGGTCTGACCATGCCAGTGAAGCTGTTTCTGGTCGCGGCAATCGTCGCGGCGTGTTGGATGTTCGTCAAGGCTCACAGCGCGAGGCGGACAGGGCCAGCGGGAAGGCATGGAGCTTATGAGAAAAGCGGTTTACCATAGACGACATGCAGGGAAGTATGATCAATCTAAGAAACTCTTGAAGCCATTTTTCGAGAGTGGTTACAAATATCGCCAAGGCCAAGCCGGTTGCTCGTGCAACTTCACGGGTGATCGAGTCAGCTGAAACCGTGCCATCAAGTCCTACTTTTGGATCACTGTTTCACAACCTCGCATTCGCTCAAGCCACACTCGGAAGGAAAAGTGCATCAATCAATCAGAGCTTGACTGTCCCCATCTAATGCATGAAATCGATGTAGTATTTCTCGGCTTGGCTGCCGAACCGTGGTAGAAGGATCTGCCATTTCGGAACGTCAGGAGAGTCACGACACACACAAAGTAGAGAAGCTGAAGTCGCGTTGCACTTGCTTTCAAAAGAAAAAAAACATCTGCGCTGGAGCTGCGGACATAAAAAGGGCAAGATCTCTTCCCGAGCAGCGACACACTTAAGAACAACATTACAATCCAACAGTAACCATGACCTCCACCACCCTCACGATATTCGCCCTCCTGGCCCTCATCTCCGCCCAAGAAACCTACAAACCCGCCTGCACAACAACAATCGCACCAACATCTTTCACCTGCTGCGATGCAATCGCCGGCCACACCACCACAAGTTATACAAACTGCTACGGCTGCGACTTAGAATATGCCCCCACACCACAATGTCGATGCGCGACGCCTCCTGTCACGGACTTTCAGATTACGAGCACCGAGACGGCTTGTGCTGCGTGCTTCACGACCGTCACGCATGTGGAGCCTGGTTGTGGCGACTGCGGACATACTTATGCTACGACTAAGACTAAGGAAGTTGAGTGTGGAGGGTGTGTTTTGACGACGGAGACGGTGGGGGGTGGGGTGGGGATATGCGTTTGTCCTACTGGGACGGAGACGGAGGTTAGTGTTTGCAGGAAGACGGGGTAGGGGTGGGAAGGACATGTTGGGATGGCGGGTTCGAGGTGTTGGTTTGGGTGTAGTGCTGCTACGTCGTGGAGTGGAATAGTACGGAATAGAGTCTTTTCAAGATTGTGGTGTCGATCGGTCGCAAGTTGTGATTTGTCGCTCTCCAATGGCGGCTGTGTTGCTTCTCTGTCATGCAACATGTGTCTAGAGAACACTTGCAAACAAATTCCGCACATGCAATATCGCTCTGAACACATGAATGAAGTGAATTAAGACGCGCCGCAAAGTCCTCGTATACCTTGATCGCGCAGAAGGTCAGTCGCATGGCTGCTCGGGAAGTCTCGGCATGCCGAACGTCAGGCGCTCGGGCCAGGTATTCCGAATATTGAAGTAAGAACAACCACGCGGACGAAGCGCGATTTTGATTAGATGCACAGCGAGCAAGTCCCAGAATCATCATATCCAGACTCTTCAGAAACAATATTGGGGCGAGGCTGAGCCAGGAAATATCAGTGATATGTCTTGGCATTGATGGTCCGAGCGTCTCACATGAAATCTCACTTTTCACTTCCATCACTCTCTCATGGTGACCGCATGGCAACGACCTCAACGTCACCGACTTCCTCCACAACGCGTGACGTTGTAATGTCGTGGCAGTGTCGTTCTCCCATCACCCCCTCATGGCAACCGCATAGCAACGAACTCACCGTCCCCAACCTCCTCCACCAAGCGTGACGTTGTGGTGTCGTTACAATGTCGTTCTCCCATCACTCTCGCATAGTAACCACATAGCAACGACCTCGTCATCCCGACCTCCTCCGCCACGCATGACGCTGCAATGTCGTCGCAATGTCGTTGCAATGTTGACGCCCGAGGAGCTCCTGGCGCCAGGTATACCTTCTCCTTCCCTCCTGCTTCCTTTCTCTCCTTTCCTTCCCTTCTCTCTTCATCCACAAAGCGGTAAGTACAACTCCCCCACCCCTTTCTGCCCCATCACATCGCCTGCAACGTCCCAAACACTTTCACAAACACTGCCATTGCCGTCGCATGACTTTTGGAGAATGGAAGCGGCGCCCGCCGGCAAGATCTTGCGCCTTGTTGCTCTTACGACGTGTTTTGGACCAAAATCTGGAAGGACCTTGGAGACGTCCTTTGGCGACGGCGAGCTTTCTGGGCCTGGCCTGGCCTGGCACCTCTGTACTGGACATCTGGAATGGCTCTGACTGGTGCCACTGCCCTCTGCATCTCATCTTCTTTGCGTTGCCGTCTTTTCTGACCTTGCTGCCCTTCCTTTGCACTGCCTTCTCCCGGTCGCAATCTGGCTGAGCGACGCTTCTGACACCACATCACCCCCAACACAACACCACCACCTCTGAGACATCAACGCCTGCACTGCCAGACTTCCCTCCCTTCTCTTACAATCATCTCAACATCATCATCAAGTCCAGTGGACTCCACTAGTTTCCGACTAGCGACTGATTGGAGATGCCCTTGTCTGCCTTGCTTCCACCACCAACCCTCCCATCTTTTGCTGGACTTCCTTCTCACCCGTCCTCTGCCTTAATGCCATGCTTTGACTTGTGTGATACTCGAACTTGTTGTTGGCCGGCGTGTCGCCCTGTCTCATTGTGTCGCTGGCTTCGCATCTGGACTGGCTCTCGTCCCATCTGATGGCAGACTGTGGACTCATCTCTCAACGGACAAAACTCTGGCCCTCTGTCCTCTCTACCTTCTGGAAGACTGTTCTCACCCGTCTAGCTTCTTCCATGCCCTCACCGTCACATCCTTCACCTCTTGCTTCGTCAACGATGTTGAGAGCGTCTGCTGACATTCTGTTGCCATAGATCCCAGTTGCATAGCCAAGACAAGACAAACGAACTCACAGACACAATGCAACAATCATATCCCACAAAACGCGAAATCAAAGAGAGACTGTCCACATTCCGACCGCGGGGTCCGCCAACCACCGCCGAGGAATTGGAGGACTTGCGTCGCATCAAGCCCTTCAAGCTAGCCCGACCGTTACCGGAAAGGCTAAAGGGTAAGATGTTGGTCCCATCTCGACAAGAATTGCCACGGCCCGAAGAGCGTGGCGATCTTGCCGAACTTGAAGAGAAGGCCGAGCAATTCAGAAGGCGCCAACAAGTGAAGTCTGCTATGACGGCTTTCACTGAGGCGCCTGAATCGCACCACCACCGCCAACTCGAACTCGCTGCCAAGGCCTACGACAGACGGAAACTGGGACGGGATGCTTTTCTCGTCCTCAAGTCTACCATGGCGCAGAGGCGGCAGCAAAGCGAGAAGGCGGAGGCCTATAACCGCCGACAACTTCTGAAGTATCCATTCGACCGGATGGTTCAGAGGACGGCACAAGGGCTTGTCAAACAGGTCCAGGGAGATGTGAAAGGGCGGCGGATCGAGGCTTGGGTAGACGACGTCGCACGTTCGACAGGTCACTACCCAGTGAAGCCGTCCGCAGCTCTAACTCAGCCTCCACTCGACGATCCAGCGAAGCTCGAGGAATTCGGCAGAATGATCTCGAACGACATGGAAGAGTGGAGCGCCAAGTTAAATTACTACAAGACTCACCGCGTACCGGGAGGCACGATTGTGCGGACAAGAGCGGAATTGGAAGCCGTTCTCGAAGTACAAAACGTGAAGGCACACGCCTTGCGCAACCCGCCACAGCCCAAGCATATCGAGTTTGGGCTGGCAATCGAGGAGACAATGCAGAGCATTCACGAAAGAGTCAGAGGCCTTGCTAGCCGGGCTTGGGATGCAGTTTCTGCGACAATTTCTGGTCTTTGGCGATAAGTTCAAATCGACTCCAAAGAGGACGGACCCACGAGAGTTCCAGCTTCGGCACCAACACCTTGTCACCATCATTAGACGCAGAGATCAATTGCTCGTCTCTTGAAGTGGACGCAGACCTGAATTGGAGTAGGGTTCTGTTTGTCCTGGTGCTTGGCCTTGGGGAACAGTAAATGGGAAAGTCCGGTCCAGTTTTTCCTCGATGTTGCGCACCCGGTACATCTCCCAACGACGTCAAACGATGTTCGGTCGATGCGGCAGCGACCAACACTCGATTGACACGTCCCTCACGTCGTCCCCCTTCCCCCGGCATTGCTCACCTCCCCTGCACCAGCACTTCTAGCCCTTTTCATTCTGTTTTCGACTCCATGCCTCACCCCCTTACGAGCACCTGTCCAGCCCATCCCCAGCACAACAGCACATCCCCTTTTCCTTTGTTTTACCATCTCTTTAACTAAAACCAGAAAATTTCCTCTGAAACCAGTGGCGGCTGGGCAGAGGAAGCAAAAAAACTTGTAAAATTGGCAGGAATTTACTTGGTCGGGTGATTCTGAAGAAATCTCGGAGGCAAAAAAGAGCGGCATGGCCGGTTGTTCCAGGGTAGACGGCATTTGGCCAGGCCCTATGTTGATTTGCGTTTGGGCGTTCTTGTTTTTGGCATTGTAGATAGAGACGCCCGATGGATCTGCAGCTTCACGTGCTGGGCGTTGTGAGTACACTTTCTCTTCGGAGAAAGTGGAAACCGAGACGGATCCTTTGTGTATTTAGATCTTTGTATGGAGTGGTTGAGAGATACTGATGCTTTTCTTCTGGGTTGTGATGTTCTTGTTCTTGTTCCATACCGTTTGTTGCCGTAATTCTTCCTCTACTCAATGCACGCGGGCTGTCGAGGCTTTGAGATGTACTTCTGCGTGCCTTTGAGTACATCGCGCTGGTTGAGCATGTGCCGCGAGCCTCGAGTCGAAGTGTCGAGACTTCACCTGCACCTTCCTGGCTTCCAGCTTGGACGTGTTACGGAATATGGGGAAGGACCACCCGGGGATGGGCTGACTGATTGAGGGAACGGTTACCTTCTGTAATTAACCTTCCTTTCTACATAACCATCCACAATGACAACTTGCATAACAGGACGGCTCGACTCTGAGCGGCCATGTTCACCATGCGGCCGACATCCTTTCTGGCACTCCATGCAGCTTTCCAGCTTCGAGAAGTCGGACTCCGCCGCCATGGCATAGCTGAAGAAGGTTGGTCATTTTCAACTTGCCACTCAGCGGAAGGGACTTCTTAATGCTTTGGAATGCAGTTTTGAGTGCGTTTGAACAACCCCCGTTGTAAGAGTACGAGTGCGAGTCGGCAAGGGGAGAGGCCGAAACCTCACTTGCATCTTCCGCCTAGGACGGATCGACTCCGAATAGCGATGCTGACCGCGCGGCCGACGTCCTTTCTCGGAACCCATCGAATGCCTTCAATGTTGGAGTGAACCCAAAGTTCCGGAAAGGGAGTCAAATTGCCTGGGACTTGGAGAGCATCATCTGTCAACCTGCGGCTCAATGAAAGACCAGTGTCGCCGCTGCCATTCGCGGTCTCAAGCAGTTCAGGCAAGCCGTCGAATTCGAGTGGGACGAGAAGGTGAGGTGGTGGAAGAATCAGCATTCCGGAAGAGTTGCGCTTCGACTCAATGATGCTTGCCATTGCCATGCCACTGGTGTCGCTTCTCAGCCGACGCAACGCAGGATACAGATCAGAGGTCACCGTTCTTCGAAGCGTGTCGGCTACGATGACTGAGCTAGATATTGCGCTTCGAGAAGCAGAAGGCAGCGCTGAAGAGTTTGAGCTTGACTAAAGCAGTCAATTCCAGTGGCGCAATCGCTTCAGAAGCATTGATGTTTGACGGTGGCTCTTGAGGTGAAGGAAGGTTTGGTTCCAGTTCGATTGGGGTCTCTGAAGGAGGCAGAGATTGTGTGGTGACTTTAGCCATTTTTACTGCAAGCACTCATGAGGCGCAAGGCGTGGGAGAGTTCTGTAGAATAGTCATCCCGGACGCCCTCCTGATGGCGTTAATGTCCATTGTTGATGCTGCCGACAACACCGCCTTGTGAAAGCTATGCTGTGAACTATTCTTTCCCATTAGAGCATCCGACTTGCATCTGCACGCAACTCCGAGCGATACCGTACCAACGGGGGCATCGGGATGAAAGAGCGGATGGACGTGTATTAATAGGAGGATGATGGTGGAGCGGAAGAAGTCCGGCTCCTCCATCCCGAAAGCACCTGTTTCTCCTCCCGCCTCCTGGCACTTATACCGAGCCCCAGCTGCCCGCCCGAGCCCCAGCATAACCGAGGATTACGAGATCGACTGTTCCTAACAAAATCGCGTGTAGAAGCGGATAATCGCGTCGCTACAGGCCCCGCCAGCCGGGCAACCACTGCAATACTGCTGCTAGCTATAAAGCCAAAGTTTGTTAGCAAATTAGTAGTATAGCATAATTGAAGGTATTGTTAGTTGTTAGCTATCTACTTAGGCCTAAGCGGATTGCGACCTGCCGCCTTGTAACTACGCGAGGCTATATATGCTAGCTTATACTAATCTCTTGCCTACTAACTTGCTTACTAACTAGACTATATATAATACTAATAGTACTGTTACTATAGCACATTCTAATAAAGTAGTGCTTAACTATTCTAATAAAGTAGTGCTTAACTATTCTAATAAAGTAGTGCTTAACTATTCTAATAAAGTAGTGCTTAACGTACTAGCGGCTATATAAGTAAGTACTAATACTGCTACTACTACTACTAAGCTCGCTATCGTTGTTACTGTTTAAACAATGCCGCCTACTAACGACTATATTTAAGCTACTAGAGCGAGCGCTGTTCTTCGCGTGCCTTTAGCTCGTAAAGCTCTTAGCGTAGAATATCGAGCTTAGAAGGAGGTTGTAGAGCCTCCGGAAGTAAAGGATTAGTACGTAGATTATAGCACTCGAAGCTAGCTAGATAGTAGGTAGAGCTATACGCACGGTCGGCCTTCTAGCAAGGGCACTATTAAGTACGGCATTAGCTCTTTACGCACTTATAGTGCTTAACGGTCGTTCTTAGCTAAGTAAGTAATACGCTAGGCTCGAGTACAAAGTTAGCTGTTCTCGCTATTGCTATCTTCTGCTTCTTAGCAACTATAGTCTTATTTAAGTCGTCTAATTCTCGAGCCGTTTGTATACGCTTCGTTAAGTATAGTGTCGCTCCGCTAGTTATAGGTTTACAGTTGCTAAACACTATTATAGGCTCTCGTAGACGTAGCAACTTCGAGAAGTCGATAAACTAGTAAGCGTAGAAGTAAGAAGGCAATAGTACTATACGGCTTCTACCTGTCTCTAGTAGACGCATAATCTCGTACTTACAAGGATAGCTATAGGTCTTAGTAAGGTAATCGTTGCAGGTGCAGTAAAGACAGCTATACGAGTAGCCTAAGTACTTAATCTCGTTGCTATTGTCGTTAGTTATAGTCCTTAGAAGGGCTATAGCACGTACGTATTGCTACTATACTTCGAGAAGACAATAGTCGCTAATTACTCGAGAGACACTCGCCTAGAATAGACTAACTACGGCCTTATTGCAGCGCTTCCGGTTGTTAGCAATAGCATAGCGACGACGATCGTAACCCTCGCTCTACTACTTAATTAGTGCCTCGAAGAGTGTAAAGATATCGTAGCGACTACTATAGTTTAGCTAGAGTTTAATCCTTCTATAATAGGACTTAACTCGCGAGGTTGTTTTATAGCCGAAGTAAAGTACTTCGTTAGTCTAGCAGTCGACTATTCGTTGCTTATAGCGCTACTAGTTCTTATAAAGATAGGCCTTAAACATAGGATAAACGTTATCTAGTTTGTTAACGTTGCTATTAAACTCGGCCTCGGTTTGACTATAGATCGTATAAGTGAAGAGCTTCAAAAACCGGGTAGTTTGAATGCTATTAGTCTAGCCGCTATTGTCGTCCTTAACTTGTCTAAACTCGCTACGTTCTTTACGTATTCGAGCGAGAATATCTTGCTATAGATGCTAGTTACAAACGATGTTCTTAGCGTTAGGAAACACCTCCTTACAAGCGAGCATTAATGCCTCTTTACGGTTAGTGCCTATTACGATAGGCAAAGCGCATCTAGCGGCCTTAAGAGCCGTCTTAATAGACTTAAGAAGCTGTACAAAGTTAGCCTTCTCGGGCTTCGGTTTAATAAGGCTAACGCTAAGCTTAATCGTGTTATTTATCGGTCTAGCGGCGACAATATCTAGTAACTCGAGGTTGTATAGATTAGTCGAATATATCGTATCTAGTATAATAGTATACGGCGTTAGCTTATAGGCTTCAATTAATACTAGATAGAGCGCTACTATAGATTTGATAGCGCTATTAGGTCTAGTTTGAATATCCTTATAGATATCGTGTTTCTCGAGTAGTTAGACTATTCGCTCTGCCTAGTTAGCTTCTCGTCGCTTACTAAGGTTGCGGAGCTAGGCAATATTGTATAGATCTTATAGTTTAATAAGAACGTTACGGCTTCGGAAGTAGGCTATTATCTTAGAGGTTAGCATTCGTATAGATTAAAGCCTCTCGAGTTAAGCGAGGAATTTAGTCGTTCTTAAGCGACTTCTATATATAGTAAGGCTTATAACGTCGTCGGGTTTATAGTTATAAATATAGTATGCTTCTTCGCTAGAGTGACGGATAGTTGTTACGGATCTGATTAGTTAGAGTCCTTATATAATCTTAGAGCGACGCTAAGACTAGTAGGCTAAGCTATCGCTCTATCTTACTAGGAGCGATAGGAGCGGTCGAGAGCGATAGCGTCGCTTACGTCGCTTACGACTATAGACAAGATATCTCCTTTGTATTTAGGAACGCCGGAATGCCCTTATAGCTCGAGGCGTTTAACTTATGTTACCTACTTACTAATTAGAATTACCTTTATACCAATTATTCTGTCTCTGCCTCCCGCTTGTATTAGCCTCTC